TTAATTTGTCCTAAAAATGCAATTTTTTTTTTATTTTTTAGTTCTTATATATATATATATATATATATATATATATATATATATATATATATATATATATATATAACACAACATGCATGTATATGAAACATGAGAATTGCTGTAGAAAGAAACTCGGAACAAAAATAATATCGATCCCCGAAACAAGTATGCATGCATATATATGCATTAATAAGAGAGAAGACAATGGATAAATTCAAGATCAAGAGAGAGAGATTAATAATGTAAGAAATATACAACCCAAAGATATAGATGGTAATGGTATCTATGTGCACTACCGGTATCCGCATGCTTGCAATGTGAAGTCATGAGTAAGATCAAAGAGTAGGCATGCGTGAAATATTGGTGTGTGTAATGGCCGGCCGCCAGTGTGCATATACATATGCACGAGTATTGTGTGGGCGGGCATATATATTGTTGGTGCCAAAAATCTACACGTTCCAGAGTCGGTGGCGATTCCTGCAAAACAAGAGAAGTGATGACCGGCGTGGTGCCGGCCGGGTGCACTCCGACGGTCAAGTTAGTACTTGACGATCTAATATCCGATAAGGATTACATATAAAATTTATGGCGTACCTTTTTAGGTTGACTGATCATTTCTTTTATAGAAGCATTGATGGTAGTAGTTGTTGAAGCGAGATTCTCCCTGATCCAAGATGATATCGTTTCCTTCTTACAGGAATGGTAACCAAAGATTTTTTATAATTCCATAGAGATTTTGAGGAGGATAAATCCCTTACCTTTATCTTATTTTGACTTTGAGTTGCCTCATTAGTTGCCCCCCATTCTTGTGCTTGTTTGTCAAGCATCGAGAATGTGAAAGTGTTTTTTGACTGACATCTCTTTGGAAGAAATCATTCTCTTTTTAGGTTAACCCTTGTTGGGCGACCTCTTTTTGGTTGACCTCTTTTACTCCTTTAATAAGGAAGCAGATTTGCCCGAACTTCATGAGCTGAGGGAGTAGACTTTCTTAAGTTGAATGAGCTTACCTTTTAAAAAGGGAAGTATATTTATGAGCTTTACTCAACTCGCCCCTTAAAAAGGAAAATATATTTTACGAGCTTCACTTAACTCACCCTTTAAAAAGGGAAGTATATTTTACGAGCTTCACTCAGCTCGCCCTTTAAAAAGGAAAGTATATCTTACAAGTTGATTTTGACCCCTTTTAATATAGAGGACAACAATTACGAGCTTCATTCAGCTCAGGCCCTTATAGTACGTGGCACTTTTATATCAATCCCTTGTAATACGTTCAACTCGCCCTTTAAAAAGGGAGTAGGTTCTCCAAGCTTCATGAACTTATCCTTTTAATATGGAAGGTTCATCCTCGTGATTTTCGTCACCTCATCTTTTTAATAAGAGAGACTAATTATCTGTAGTTGCGTGAGCTCATCTATTTGATAAGGAAGACTGATTTTCCAGAGCTTCGTGAGCTCGTATCTTTAATAAGAGAGGTTAATTTTCTGCCCCCATTCTCAAGCTTACCTCTCATGCACGAGGAATACTAATGTTCTCTTTCTATTTGCAAAGTTAGCAAAGCAAAAATAGAGGAACAGATGTACAGTTTGAATGGATAATATATATATATATATATATATATATATATATATATATATATATATATATATATCAGAATTGATACAACTAAGGCAAAGGCAAAAACTTATCATTGAGCATTATAGGACCAAAATCATCCATGGAGCTAGCGATTGTTCTCTAAAATAAGAGAGTGTAATCATGCTCTCTTTTTTTTATTTTATGACTATTCACTCAAACAAAGTATAAGTTAGAGAATTTAAAATAAAGTCACAATAACAAAGTCATTATGATGTGGTTTGTACCCACTTATATGACACCAAACAAAGAATTTGCATTTAAGAAAATTTAGATATAAAATGATTATGACCATTCAACATTGTCCTGGACACTTTTTTTTTTTTTTCGTGAACAGTACCCGCGGGTACTATTCATGTAAACAGTACTCACAATTTTTTTTTTTATTTTTTATTTTTTTGTGATGGATTAATTAAGAAATTAATAAAATTCTAATCTATGATTTTTTGGATACCAACGTTAAATCTATGATTTTTTTTTTTTTGAATGATAGTGCAGACCAAAAAATCTAATCTTACTCTATGTGTTTGGTCTTGATAGATTATACCAAACAGAATCATAAAGATTTATGTATCATGATTGCATCATGTGTGAAAATATATATACATATATAATATTGATATATATATATATATATATATATATATATATATATATAATTTTTAATAAAGATTTAATTGTAAAAATTAAGTTGGAAAACTTATCTGATTAGAGACCCATCACCACGTTGTGTCTGAAAAGGAAAACATCAAATGGAAAAACTGCTACTATTGATGTCGACTGGGAGAGATGGGGTACTCTCTTTGATTGGATTGCTTGTCTGCGACTACCGATACCATCAATTGGAAAGAGATTTCGTCCACTGCTTCTCTAGGAATTGAGTAAGTATCATGCAACCATAATAATGTGTCAAGTAGGAGCTACTAAGAAGAAATCAAGGGCGGGTCCCAGTTGTCAACAAGAAGATGAAAAGCAATGGATCATATAAGCGCCATCCTCTATTATTCACTTATATTAATATGCTTGTGCTGTTGTCTTGTGAACAAGAGTGGGCTCACTGACTTCTTTTTGTGTGATAAATAGAATGAATTCTTTCGAGGTACGGACTAGTTGGCCTGACGTGAAAGCCTGCTGCCCATGTTAAGAGGATAGCCCAATGCGTTGTCTGAAACAGTGGTGACTGATTCAATGCTTCAAGCCTTTGAGATAGAGCTTCCTCCGCCTCCAGATAGTTGGTTTTAGATTGCGATGGTGATAGAAACCTGTCGGCACTGTACTTGAGCCTTTTGAGAATGGATTTATTTTTTTAGACCAATAATGAACAGAACGTCAGAGTTAGCCAATAAACACAAATATCACTAAAAATATTAGGAATTTTTTTATTATAACTTCTTTGGGGGAAATATAAGGAATTTTTAGATCATAATTTCTTTACGGGACTAACACACGTTTCCCACAGACGGCGCCAACTGTTAATGCCAAAAATCTACACGTTCCGGAGTCGGTGGCAATTTCTACAAAACAAAAGAAGTGATGACCGGCGTGGTGCCAGCCGGGTGCACTTCGACGGTCAAGTTAGTACTTGACGATCTAATATCCGATAAGGATTACATATAAAATTTATGGCGTACCTTTTTAGGTTAACTGATCATTTCTTTTATAGAAGCATTGATGGTAGTAGTTATTGAAGCGAGATTCTCCCCGATCCAAGATGATATCGTTTCCTTCTTACAGAAATGGTAACTGTCGTTACACATGGTAACCAAAGATTTTTTATAATTCCATAGAGATTTTGGGGAGGATAAATCACTTACCCTTATCTTATTTTGACTTTGAGTTGCCTATTATTTTTATCCTCATCATATATATATACATACATACATACACACACATTCACGCACATGAAAAATTAAGTTCTTAATTGGTTGTTGACGTGAATATGATTGTTGGGGGATAAAGGATGGTTTTTGCATGGATAGAGAGAATAATGTCACAATTCAGTCTTTAGATGTTACGACACGTAAGGGATATGCCCATTGAGTAGGGTGGTGCATGACGAGAAGAGTCTTTCGGAGTTGTATGGAGGTTCCTAAACATGTGTACAAGTATGTAGACATATGTAAATATATATAGAATATTGTAGAAGTATAGAGATGATGGGAGAGAGATGATTCTAAAAAATCCATTTTTACCGTACATTAAATTACTTTTTAATCCTCAGGTCAAGGAGGAGATACCTATAAATAGAAGGTAGGACTTTATTTGTAGCTATCAGATCATAAAATGTGAGTTGAGAGTTAATGAGGGCGAACTTGATCAGTGCGTCCTGACAGGAAATCAATTGACTGTGAGTTACATAACCTAATTTGGTCACACATTCACACAGTAACAACTGCAACTGCAATTGAGTTTTATTCCAAAGCAAATAGGTTGTGCGAATGAGTAGTTTGTGTAAGAAAAACGAAGTAGTTTGTGTAAGAAAAACTAAATGATACTGTATTTAGTTAACCTCTTTAAACCATTCTCTGTTAGCATGACAAAATAAAAAATAAAAAATAAAAAGTATTTAATAGATTTGTATTAAGTTATTCTGTTAATCTAAATTGTCACTCTAATTAAATTATTTTATATTTCTATACATTTTTATTAATTTAATACTAACTTAAATAAGTGGATTAGAAAGAGTAAAATACATGTAAGAAGTAAAAGCTTTTCAATAATCTTATAATAAAGGGGAAGGGGGGTAAAGCTCGAGTGGGTGGATGGGAAAAATCCGGGGCGCGAAAGCAATGATCACCCAAACTCAACCAAAATCTAAAGGATTTTCTAAACTCCTTCAATCAATCACAACCTAGATTCAACTGGTTAAAATCTAAGAAATTAGAAGAAACCATTTTCAGAAAATGGTACCCATTTACATATCTCGTAATAAATATGATTAAATTTCAAAAGTAACATATCATTTCATTTTTCAAGAAGGCAAAATCAAGAACTAAAATAATTCCTAATTTAAGTTTTTTTTTATTTTTATTATTATTATTATTTTGCGTAAATCCTAATGAAATTTTTCAAAAACAATCATTTTCCAAATCATAGATTTTATACAGAAGACCACAAAAGAGATATCTGTGTGCAAAGGTGTGCGTCTGTGCTATGTGTTAAAAAGAGAGAAACAGTTACAATAAGTGAGAGTTACTCTTTTTTTTTTTTTTTGCGCCAAAGCAAACTTGTGATTGCTGGGCTTTAATGTGTTTTATTGCAACCTGTTTCAGATAATAAACTACAAGGGCAGATATTGTAAAATATTGAATGCTTAATATATATATATATATATATGATCGGTGTGATATTGCAATTTCTAAACTATTGTTTCTTTTTACAATAAATTCTTCTGTTGTTTGAGAATATTTTGCTGTAAAGCCCCTTGTCTTTGCATCAGGTTGTACCCAGCAATCTGCAAATTAACATCAGCAAGTTGTATATCAAGATTGATACAGATCTCAAGTTGCTGCTCGCAGACATTGCTCCTCCAAGCCACCAAAAACTCTTTCTAGAAACTTCTCAACAATTGACACAAACTCTTCCACCCTTTCTTCTTGGGGCAGGTGGCCACAGTTCTTAATTATTTCGAGGGAAGCTCCAGGTATGGCTCGTGAAAGTCTCTCCGAATTCCAAGAGGGGACAAGCCGGTCACTATCACCCGTGACAATCAGAACTGGGTTTTCATTAAAGAAAACAATAAAATTAGAACCACATTTTCACTCATTCAACTTGATGGTCTAACCTATTGGTTGAATTGTATATGAAAGATAGCAAATTGGTGTCTTGTTCAATGGCAGAACATATGGACAACCTGAAGATTAGTGAAATTCTGAATACGGTAGTTCCAAGCTACATATGATAAGACTCAAACAAGATGATCATACTTTGTTTTCCAGGCACACCACCTACAACTGGATAACTGAACTATTAGCGCGATGACTCTGTAGCCCGAACATCATATGTAGGCAAATGAAAAATTTCCTGATCTAAAAGCATTTTTTTCTTATGACCAGTCAGCAAAAGATAGATAAGAGACTTAAACTACCCTTTCCTAGGGAACTTTGAGGCTGAACTGCAAAATAGACCAATTGATGGGTGAGGCCAGTCCTTATCCCCATTTAGCACACGACATGACATGACGTGAAAAGTTAGGTCAATCACCGGAACTCTGAATAGAACTTCTCATTATCTCATCCATTCTAACGTGGACTTATCTCACTTTTTAGTCTATTGAAATTTCAAATTGAGTATTATGTCTTTTTCCCCATTTTAGACAAATATCAAGTGACACAAACAGAGAGTTAACATTATTACCTGGACATGAGATATCACCGAGTCTTTTTACTAGTGGTGGCTTTGATTCAGAAGCAGAATCTGTAAGCATTGCTGCTGTGTATTCCACAAGTGCCCTGTCCCAATCCTTGGTCCTCAATGGCTGCAATGATACCAATAAATGTGAACATTGTTGGTAAGAAATAGAATAAAAACCATCCAAGTTATTTTATTAACCAGTACTGCATTGTAGTATATAGAATCAAAGAAGGAATTAGAAAGACAAAGTCTAAAGGCAAATTACCTTTGTATAGCCATTTAAGACATTATCAGTGATTTGATTTGCATCATACCATGAATTTCGAATGGCAGCTATACCAAATTTATCTATTACCATCCTTATCTGAGAACCATGTAAGTATGTCCATGTCAGATCAGAATTATGATAGGTGACCATTAAAATAAAGAATTAAATTTTGTATGTTTGGCAAACAAGAGATATCCGACATCAGCAAGCAGAAAAATCTTTCTCAATCTAATACTTTGTCATAAATCACACTACGGTTTCAACTCGCCCTTGTGAACATGAGTCCTGAAATGATTGAAAGAAAAAAAAAAACTGTCCCTCAACCAAACCCAAGTAGCTGGGATATAGCTACATTGAGATTAAATGCCTTTCACCCTACTGTTAGATGTCAAATTCCCTCCACACAGAATGCTGTGTTTCTCTTTAGACAAGGCAATTTGCTAAGCGTGATGCCAAAACTTAAAATGTAAGGACAAAATTATATGAGATTCTATCAGTCTATTGATTTCTCGGATGGGGCCTACAAAACTGATTTAGTAGTCATTCTAGCATAATAGCTCAAGCCTAGTGTATTTTGGAGTCATCCAGAGAGAAATTTATTACCAACATCACAGCAACGGCAGAGCGCAGAAGAGCGGATAAAGCTTTCTTATAGAGAGAGTTGACCATATCTACCATCCCTTTCACCAAACGCATTATTGCCTGTGCAATGAGTTTAGAGAACTCTGATAAAAAGTTGCCAAGCCTGATAAATGGATTCCCATGAATTTTCGAATTCGAGCCTTCTTCTTGGATCTCATTATCTGTTCTAAATTGACTTCCTCTGGCAACCTTATGTGCAGTGCGTGGCGCTATAATTGCTGGTGCAACGAGGACCAGGGCAGCAACACGCTCAGGTGCTTCAAAATATGTTTGAACTGCTACAATCGAACCAGCTGAATGCCTGACATCTTAATAATATTGCTTTCAAGTTTCAACATGTTTAGAGAGAATCTGCTTTCAAAACAGAGAAAAAAATCCAGGAGGAAAACCCCACTAAAACAGTTCACCAACTAAGATATAATTTTAATTAGAATATCAGAAAAATTAAAAAGTTTTACAACAGAAAGGCTAACTGTATTTGCTGGTGTAAGCTTAAATGATTCCATTTTCTTCACTGACAACAGTATAACAAAAAATATTTATCAATATTCTACCATTTTCAACAGTAAGCAAATAGCCTATTTGATATTGAAGACAGACACGCAGATGAAGTCAAACTTCAAGGATGATCACCGCCATAGTTTGCATAGAAAGGCAAATGCACATTGCATCCATACTAAGAGGTCCTAATAGCGACTTCCATAGGCTATGAAACTAGATGGCAACTTGTACAATGACAATGGATGTCACGTTAAATTTCTATAGCCATCAAGCTATAAGTGACCAAAAAGCCCCCCATAATAGTTTCCAATTCATGCTTGTTCACTCGATCTTGCATGTGCACTATAAAATGCACATTTATCAATTCCCATTATTGTTATGAAATAATACTCCCCCTAAAGATGAAAGAGAAAATGAGCTACGGAACAATAAAAATTGACAAATGTACATACCCAACAAGAATTGCCTTCTTAGCTGTTAAGAAGTTGATGAAGTGCAATGTAGCTAGCACAGAAAACATGGTAGAGTATGGGTTTAAAGGTTTTCTATCATCACTCGCAGGAGATGAATACGCAGAAGAATTCACCCTTGATGTCAACCCAAATGCAGGTCTATCGAAGGCAAGGACTTTTGAACCAGTGAAATGTGCCAAAGGCTTCATAACTCGATCCCATGAGAAAACCGAGGCTCCAAAACCATGTAACAAGATCATAGGAAGACTTTCTTTCCTGATTTGGTAAGGAGTTTGAGAACTAGTCGGGTCATGAAACATGCCCTGTGAGGGAGATTCTGGGTCGCATATCTTGTGGTGTATCTGTACCCCTTTGAACTCACAAAAACAACTGTCTGGATCAGCTAAAACTGCCGGATCCACTAACTCATCCTGATCTATGCCAGCTATTCTCTGCCTCTTTTTCTTCGGTTTAGCTCCTAGCAATTGCTCTGGAGATTTGAAGAAAGCATGCCATAAAAAAACCCACACTCTAAATTTTGTACAAAAATGAATGACAAACTGCAAACCAATCTCTCTCAATATATGTGTGTGTGTCAGATGATTCACTACTTAGCTCACTAAAATCAATGGAAGACCTAGGATTCATGATTGTACAAAAATGAATGAAAAAATGCAAACCCATCTCTCTCTATATGTGTGTGTCAATGTGTAAGTGTGTATATATATATATATCAAATGATTTGCTGGTTAACTCACTGAAATCAAGGGAAGACCTAGAATTGATGTTTGTACAAAAATGAATGACAAAATGCAAACCCATCTCTCTCTATACGTGTGTATATCAAATGATTTGCTACTTAAATCTCTAAAATCGATGGAAAACCTAGAATTCATGTTATCTAGCATCTGGGTTCAACTCCTTTTGGTTAATTAAAATCTCACCAAGAACTTTCTTAACTCTAATGCCTAGACAATCGATGAAAACCAAGAAAGGCAAAATTAGCATGCTTAAATAGTATAATATATGCATAAAGATTTACATGTAATTGACCAGAGTATTTAACCCACCATACAAGTATATTATTGCTTAGTCAGTCATGAATGCGAGGAAAATGCAAGATTAACATGCTCACATAGTACATGTGTATGTGTGTGTAATTTACCAGAGTATTCGGCGCCGGAACCACTGACAGAAGCAGCGGAAGCTTTAGGGATGAAATCAAAGCGTAACATGTTAGTCTTTTGCAACCCAAAAGGCTTTCTTTTGCTTAGAGATTTTGATAAATCATTGCGGTCAAAGAACACAAACTGATGAATCAACCCAATACTCATATGTTCAGGCCTTCTCTTAGCTTCCTTCTCCTCAGAAAATTGGGTGATTCGATTTGGAGTGAGAGGATTTCACTGAAATGAAGTTATTCGGCGGGAATAAAAAGGATTTTCTTGCGCCCCAATTTGCTATTTACTCCACAAAACAATACCCAGTTGAATAACAGTAATTGGTATAAAATGGATACTAGTAAATCATTTCTGGATTAGAAAATTAATTACCTAAATTTTGAACTGTTTTTCCATTTTTTTGTCATATTAAAAGAAAAATTATTTTCAAAAATTCAATCAAAAATAAGTTAAGTCCTGCAAAATGACATCATTATTCATGGATATTAGTTCAAATGGTATAAACTCTTCGTCTCAACTGCAAAGGTTGAATGTTCAAATTCGTGAATGCATAATTTATGTAGTAAATATGCGTTTAGTTAAAATTTTAAAAAATAAAAAATAAATTACATTGTTCAATGTTGAGAGATTTTTTATAATTTATATTTATTATAATTATTTTTTTCTTGGAACTTAAGCTGGCAAACTACTCACTATTATTTTATTGGAGATTTAATTCAAAACTACTTGAACTAATACTGGAGATTATTTATTGACATTAATAATTTAAATAAGATAAATGATTTTTAAAGTTACTTGAAAGGCCAAAAGGCCAAACCAAATTTTGGTGCAAATAATTTCAACCCTCAATTGAAGAGCTGTGTTAATTAAAATAAATAAATAAATTGAAAAATGAAGAGTCAGTGGCTATCATCTCACTACGTTGGTGCTTTCTCTCTCTACATTTTATTTGAACAATTTGAGTGATTCTCGTTGTCCCACATAACATACCAAATTGTTGACTTACAATGCAGTGTCAGACACAAAAATACTCGGTTAAATTTTAATGAGACAAAAAAGTAAAAATGAAAATAATAATCAAAATGACCAATACTATCTCCAGAGTGATTGCTGTATAATAATACAGCCATGATACTTCTTGAACTGTAACTATTTTTAGCTCTGATTACTAAATTTATTTCTTGTCGAACTGATTTATACATATGAATATTAGATAAGATGGAGTTGGATTGTTTATTGGCCTTTTAACCTAAGTTTACTTTCTACGCCTGACAACATAAGTTTAAATTCATTTCTCTGTTTCACAAATCTATTGCTTATAATCATAATAAACGCAACATGGACTCCATCGGAACTCAACAACATTTTACACCTTCTAAACCCGACTATCAAACTCATGCTATACAACCACAAAATAATAATAATAATAAATCAAACTCATGACCAAAACCATGTTTATATTTGTACTCAGACAACAAATCCAGAATCCCAATTACACAAGTTGGTTACATAATTATGCAATTGCAAATGCTGAAAAAGGCATGGCACACTCAGTTAGAAAAGATGAGTACACAAGCACCACGATCTTATAACAAGTATGAACAGATGTTCCTGTTATATAGTTTTACAGATGTCTAATGAGAGCAATATTTGCCTTTGCAAGCAATTTATGACAATTTACAAGTTGCTAGGCTCTCAGCGTGTTTCCAAAACATATATATACAAAACACGATCGTATATTTTATGAAACAAATACATGTATTTACATCCAGGTTCTATATTTATATAGATAGTAGGAATACAACTATTGCTCGTGCAATTATGGAGATTTCACTATCTAGGCCTATTGTCAGTTTTGAGAAAGCGAACATATTCCTGCTGCAACATCTGCCCTCCGTTTACAGGATCGAAACTGCACCTGTAGAAACTGATACACGGGACAAGTAAAAAAAAAAAAAAGAAAAAAAAATGCATGAGGGTGGGTAAACATTCCCAATCTGACTAAAAGAGATAGTGAACGCCATTTTTTGTATTACTATTTGCCATTTTGCTAAAAGTATTAAAGTCCGCTTTTCAAATAAAAAAATGAAAAATATAAGAAAAAAAAGGTAAAGATACACTCGGTGCAAAAACCACAATATCCACACAAAGTAACCTAAGGGTTTGCACTCTCTCAAAACTTCACATGACAAAGTTTAAAACAAGACACAAGGGGTGTGTACTGTGGACTCTTGTTCGGAATCTCCGAATTGGAGAGCAAATAATTTTCATATGTAAAAATAATTAGAAAACCAAGAAGAAGAGGATAAAATAATTATAGTTTTAAATTGTGGTATTAGCTAACGTAAAAATGGAAAAATTGGCTGCAAGACTGCAAGTATAATCAAAATCAGTTATCATAGCCTTGAATTTAGTTTGTCTAATCACTAGTAAATCAATCAAATTTAACCAACGAAATATAAGATAGATTATGAGCAAAATTCTAATTAATTAAACATCAAAATTATGTTTGTTAAAGAGAAGGGTGATTTAGATAGAATTTATCTCAGTCGAGTAGCAAAATGAAGAAGTTCCAAAATAAGGTTTCAACAAGTTTCTACTTATCAAAAAAAAAAAAAAATAATTGTTTCAACAAGTTTCTACTGATTTTCTTCATGGTTTTAGGGCATTCAAATGTCAAGTTTTCTTGTTTCTATATTTTTAATATTAATTTTTCATATGCGCATATGTATTAAGGTTTCCCAAAAAAATTGGTCTAGACATTAAGGTCTGCCCCTGTGCATACAACTTGCTTACTCTGGGACGATGTGTAGCATCATGCGCATGGAATGCTCGGTCAAAGCCACTCTCACAATGATCTATAAGTCACCAGGAATTTTTTATTTTTTTACTTCGATAAGTGTCACCGCGAATCTATACTTGAAGTGAAAAATGAGATAAAACACGTATAGAGGTAGACCTATTGTGATGACCTTGGAAATCTATCAATTTAATAAAAAGAAAAATAGAAATGACATGTTAAATGTTTTCTATAAAAACAAATGAAACGGAACAAAATTAATGGAATTAATATCTATATATATATATGCTTCTTCTTTGAGAGGGGAGGGGGTGTCTGTGTTAAGATGCGTAGTATGTAATTAGATTATACATGCAATTTACTAATCTAGAAGAAAGGCACAATACGAGACTTTGTTGGGTTGGCTTATAGTCTAGCAACATATTTACAGCAGGATTTCTTTAAACGTAGAGACACAGAGAAAGAAAGAAAGAAGACAATTTCTTACCTTCCATCCATGCCAACAATAATGACAGTGTTCATAGATCCAAATGCCGCAATGAAGTGGGTGCATTCTGGTACGTGGAACTGGGCAAATGACCATTCTGAACTAAAATATTTTGGTAATACACCTGAGAGATCAAGAAATATGAGAATTGAAGAAAGCAAACAATACCGGAACCTTTTGAACCTGAATTATTTTGGAAATACCCCTAGTAATAATATGAAAAGCTTCGGTAGAGTTCAGGAAAATGAACATTCACATACTTCCAAACACTGACCACCATGCAGTCCAGCGAATATAATACTAACTAAAACAGCAGCTCAACTAGCAAGAATTCAATGGGCAGGAAATGCTTACAAATCTGGAAAATAAGAAACCTCACTAGGTTTTAAAAGATTAGATCTCTCAAATTCAAGTACCTTTATCAAATTCATGGTGATTACTAAGTTTGATACTATGAAATTCTACTTAGGATCTACCTGGAGCTTCATAAATAAGTTTTAGTAGTTAATTCTCATTGGTATTGGCATGTCATAAACCCTTATGCAAAGCCTACCCATTCTTTTTACATTCATTCCAAGCTTCACCTCTCAAATTATTTATTGGCAGACATCTCTTACCTTTCATAAAAGACAACGATGAGCCTGGGTTGGCACCAGTACTTGGAGAAATAAGGGCATCAAGTGAGGATGAAGAATTCTGGTAAAACAGAGCCGCACTTTGAGCAGCACTGGATCGAGTTGACGAGTCCTCCCCTACAACCCTAACTCTAAGACTGAATATATGAACAGTACCTTTGTCACTTGACACAGCCAACCACTGGACATTTGGAGAGAGAGCGATACTATAAATATCTGCTTTGTCCACTCCTCTGCGTACCTACTCCGAAGCAATAATATTGAGAATCAAGTTCTTAATTCATCTACCAACAAGACAGATCACCAAACAAGTGCATAATTATAACCTGATGGATAACCAAACCTTGTGCAAGTAAATCAAATTTTAATCAGAAAATTGACGAATGTAGAATTTACAGAAAATTGTGTAATGCATGGATGCGAACCAGCGTAATGAGACCAGGGCAATCTCAGAAAATTGTGTAATGAATTTAGAATGTGATGAAGTAGGTGCAATTGCAAGAGTTCTTATCTGATTCATTAAATAGAAAGATGATGCAACATTATTTTAGATGGCACAATTTCCTAATATTCCTGTCGCACGGTGTAATGCCCATAATTTTGGGAGAGATTTAATTTTATTTTTTTTTATTTTTTGATAAATAATAATTTTGGGAGAGAATTAATGCATTCGCATCAATTGAATCCCGACTTCTAGTTTAATTTCAAGCTAGCATATTAAGATAACACTTAAAGATTGTTCTTTGCAAAAGAGCTTGGCTAAAAGAATTCATTATTCTCTACAATAGAGTTATAATAAATTTATATAAGCAAAAGAGGGTATTCAAAATGTTTTCATTTAAGGATCAAAATGCACTCTTCTACAAGAATGATGGAACATCTTGACACTGTAAGGAAAAGTATGACTTCACTAGTTCCTTTTATTTTGAGATGTACAATCCAGTTACTAGCCTGAAAATATGCAAAAATAAACATAAAAAAGACTAATTCCAAGAAGCAAAAAATCCAGTATCATACCTCCTGTAACCGAGTCCCATCCATTGTGTTAAATATTCTTACTAAAGTGCCCTTTGTACTAGCAGTTGCAAGAAGAAGCCCATCCATTGTCAAGGTTAAGCATGCTATTTGAGAATCATGGGCATTTATTCTCTTGGTCATATTCAGCCCAAAGTGATCAATCCGAACCTGTCCTCGATGAAGACCTGGGCAAGCCAAGACAGATGTATTCACATGGTGCGAAAGGCAACAAAGTCCCCTGGGGTTTGCAGTAGTCTCTATCTGATGAAGAAGCTTCAGATCCGTAAAATCGTAAACATATATCTTGTGCTCAAGAACAATGACAAGTCGATCCTGTCTTAATTTTACCGCACGAACTTCAGATCTGAACGAAAGTTCACCAAAGCACCTGCATTGGTGATCATCCCAGAGTACAACTTTATTGGGAGGGTACTGGGAATTAGCTTTACCACCAACAAGTGCCAATATGTTGCACCGGAACAGCATCTCAACAATTCCGAATCCCCCACTTTTCAGATCACGTCTAAATGTTTCCTTAAAAGGATCACAGTTGTAGATACGAAAACCACGTGATGTGCCGGCAGCAAAGCATCCATAGTCTTGATTCCAAGATACAGACAGCAACTCAGTTTCATCACTGTCATTGAACTCTGATTCTATCTGGCTAAAAGGACCAGAAACCTCTCCATTTAAGGATTCAAATGTGCCAAGTATTGCTGCTGGAACTGTCCCTCGAGATGTTGAGACGGTCGAACTCATGGGGGAGGAAGAAATAGTCATGGCATGTAAAGCAATCAAAAACTGCAGAAATCAATAGCATCCAAAGTCAGAACAACGCAGGTATGATTCTCTGTGATTAATAAGAGATTCAAATTGTGAAACGAAAAAGAAAAAGCAACTGCAATAACAAAAAGGAAAAAGAAAAAGAAACACATCTTTACCCTATTACATGTAGGTGCTGCTGGCCAGAAACTTAATCAATATGACAACGCATATTAAAACTAGGGTTAAAGCTCACTAGAAAGAAAGAAAAAAAAAACGTAGAATAAGAAAGTTGATTGCGCATTCAACTTTGATGGTAGCAATCAGAAACACACACACAAATAGAGAGAGGAGTAAACCATTTATTGTCATCAAACAATACTTAAAAATTCTGACAGGTAACAGAAACATAATCTAAACTGGCTCTCATTCACTACAATAAACTTCTCCATCTTAGTCGGAATACAAAATTTTCAATTCCCTAATATAATTGCCACTTTCAAATTCAAATTTTATGATGTGAACAGGAGGGAAAATCAAAGAAAAAGTCAGTACACATTTCCATTGTCTAAGGGGTCACTAAAGAACTTGTTCTAGAAGTGTGCCATCTTATATATATATATTTTATACAGGATGAGGAATGAAAGGAGCTTTAAGGATTTTACTGTTGATTTTAGCAAATACAGAGAGGAATACATTCACAGCTACCCAGGAGGTTTCATTGATAGCCAAGAGTTTGCATGCATCAGCCTTCCGAAGTCATTAAGGAGTAATATGCAAGCTCCCCCATCTGTTTTCTCCACCCTTAATACAGTTCCATTGAAGCCTCCTCCCCGAATTTCCAATCTGAATGTTGATGCGCCGCCAGCAATTGCCCCAGTCCATGTTGGAGGATTGTGCAGAAAGCATAAAAGCAAGTCAGTGTTTAGACTCCCTATACTCACTGGTTTGGGTTACCCTAGCCAAGAAGAGCTACCCGTGTTCATGTACAATGAGAGGTTGAGACCTTTCGTAATCAGGTGGATTTTGCTCTAGCCGTCCATTAATCTAACCACAAGCTTAAAATGCCTTGCGGATCTTCGTATATGCAAAACAAGGCCTTTGACTGAATCTCAGACTGTAACGTCATTATCTTGTGGAACACTAGCTCTGCCATCTTTACCTTATTGTTATCCTGCATCACCTTTTAGCAAACTGAACTTCGGTTGATGATCCTCTGTCACCCCCAATATTAATTACCAAATGTAATCAACCTAACCTAGTTTATACACTATGTATACTGACAAATCAAAATGAGAATTTGCACCCTGCAAACTAAAAGTACATGCAAAAAAGTTACTGAAATTGTTCTTCTAGCTTTCAACGGAACCATCAGTCATTCCAACTAAGGATTTTTTTTTTTAAGCCATTCCAAGTATTAAGTTCCAATCAAGCCAATACCTACTCCAAATGAGCTTGAATTAAAAGAAAAATGCTCAATGCGAATTAATTGAAAAGTTGAACACTTGCAGTTAGGTTTTACAAAACAGATCGTTCATTTCTATATGACAGAGACATCAAACAAGTAAAGATAATAAATATTGCATAAAATACACAGATCTCGTATTGAATCGCATGGAAAGAAATATACAATCAATTATATATATATATATATATATATATATATATATCAAATTAGTCACTTACAAAGTCGTGCAGATCAAATCTTCTGATCTTCCAAACAGCACATTCTTAGCATGTCTAACGACGACTCGATCGATCTGCACGCATTTTTCGAATCATCGAAATTGAGAATATTACAAAAAAATTCCCCAACTATGAATTGATGAGAATGCTAAATTCGGGAAGATCATGGACATATGAACTAGCAGGCCTGAAAATCCCTTCGTGTGTGTTTGTGATTTTATACCTTCAAAGACGCTATCAGTAACACGATCGAGCAGAGATTGATTTCATAGACGATACAACAGTGCGATTGTTATTTTCAGGTTTAGGGGAGAGAGAGACTCTTCCTTGAAGCCGGTGGTGTCTGAGATGATGCCACGTTTGGGGCAAACAGATCGGATGGTTGAGAATTATGAGCCTGTGGAATTCCGCCACCGCCACCCATGTGATTCTAATATTTTATAAATGAGGAGAAAAAAAAGAAGGAAAAAAAAGAGAGGCATGCATAAATATCTACAATAATTTTGGGTAATTATTATTATTATTTTTTGTCACAAACTCACAGTTGTGGCGTGGACCAAAATAGCCATGTATGAATACTGAAACTGACCTGTTCCAAAGACCCTGCTTCCACGGTTCCACCACAATCTACAATAATTTTGTGGTTATTATTATTATTTTTAATTATTTTTTGTTTTTTTTTTTTGCATTTCATAGATAGTGGTCTCTTATTACTATAGAAATAATAAGATATTGGACACTATCTATTATAGTTGCACAAAAAATCTAAAGAATAAAAGAGATTGTATTCTTATTTAATGCTGACAAGGTTTTTCTTTTTTTGGTTAAAACTCTAATAGTAAAAAATAAAAAAACAACAAATGAAATATTGTAACATTACTTTTGAGAGATGTATATGTATGAAACTTAAATTTATTATTACCTCCCAAGTAATAATTCTTGAACCAATCCATTAATCTGGTTTCAATTTAAAGAGATAGGATTGGGTTTATAGAAATCTACTAATTTAGTCTTTGGACGGGTTAGGACGTTTTTTCCGTTTGTTAAACTTCTTTTTTTTTTTTTTTTTTTTTTTTTTTTAACTTTTTTTAACTTTTTTTTTTACTCTAGTTGAGTTTAAGTTGACTTTGCAATATAAATTGAAATAATTTTGTTATAATATACTCTATCTCTTTTAAAAAATTTGTTCATCTTTTTATTTTGAGATGTCTTAAAATATACGTATCATTTAAAAAATAAATGTATTATTTTTTATAACATTTTCAAATTATAGTATTTTGTAATTAGATAAAAATAAATTTAAATTTTCATTCTTATCAATGCAATAAAAAAGTAATAAAATTTCACAGCTGTATTCCCAAACAACCCTGAAAATTTTGGAAGAAAGGGCGTACTTTATTTGAATTTCATATTTTTATTATTTATTAAAAATAATATGTAGAGCATAATTATACTAAAATTTTGAAAAGATAAAAATAACTTTAACAAGCAAATAAATTTTAATATAAATTTATATAAAATTCACTGGCTTTGCCTACCAGTAGTGAGACATCCGAACTGGAGTAACACCGGATCAAGAATTAGAACTAGCTATGATATTAATTACAACGAGTTGGATACTCCTGACCCAAAAACTTAAACTATTAAATGAGACTAATGTCTAACCCGTATGTACGTACCCATTTAATTTCCCTTCAATATTTAATATAGGGCAAGTCCCACTGGTATAGCCTTGATGGCATGATCTTCTCTCCGACGAGAGAGTTTAGTGTTCGAGCACTTTTAGAGATGATATTGTATGTTCGCCTCAAACTTTTAAAAATAAAAATAATAATAATAATTAAAATAAAATAAAATTTCATCCTTTAGAAAGTTCTATGAAGTGCAACATGTGAAGCCCACTATAGTGGACAAGGTTAGACAATCAACAGCTGCACATTCTTCCAATTAACATTGCAAAGCTTAAGTTTGAAAAGTTGGTAGAACATTTTTTAGCACAACCCCTATACTATAATTACTATTCATTAAAAAAAATAAAAAAATAAAACAACATCTCCTGAAGATCCAAGGAAAAAAATAAATAAATAAATCTACTGAAGATCCACATAAGTTTTAAGGAAATGGTTTACAAACAAAGGGACAGATTGAGAAGACCACTTGAAACTAAAGCACACAACATTGACCAATTGATTTAAAAATGTGAAAAATACCGGATTAGTCCTGTAGTGGGTTGTGACTTGTTAAATTTCTAGATGAGAATATACACCAATAATTAAATTCAAAAAACAGCTATGGACCCATTTTCTATACATAGTGAAGAACAATGGGACCACATTACAAGTTGCATATATATATATATATACAAATATATATATTGACATTTTCAATACAAAGAAGATTCCAGATACAACCTGCACTATAATGACAGATTAGTTCAAACTAAAGCTCATTTCCAAAACAGGACCTAACTTACAAATGTCCCCCTATCCATATTTGGCAAAATCATATTAACCCAAAAAAAAAAAACCCATCAAATTATACTAAGTAGGAGCATTACATGAATCATGAGAGAGAGTTCAAGTTTAAGTTTAAGTGTGTGACCAAGTAAAATAACAAATTAGAAGTTAACATAAACAATTAACAACCACTTGAGATGTTCTAGTAAATAAACACTATGGCACAGTCGCACGTGAAAAGAATAAGATGAAATTTACTTTATTCCTTGGAAAACAAAAACAACCAAAATTTAAACATAAACCATCCATATAGTTGTACTTTCAACACACATTTCCACATTAAAGTACAATATTCTTTGCTAGTTTCAAATCTAATGTTAATATATTCACAACTCCATAGAAAAAGATCAGTTTTGATGCTTTATGATTAATAAACTTCACTTCTTCCTCAGAGAGTAAACAGAACTGAGGTTTCAATCTTGAAGCACACAGATACTACTCTCTACACAAAAACTAAGCACAAAACTACTGTTTTTGCTGGTTTATGACCAAATGTTTCATATAAAAGAAGAGCAATATAATGCTTTTATGGTTTTTAATGGACTTCGTTGCCTTTTAAGGCCACAATCTACAAAGGTGTGTTGCCTAATGCGTCTTAGTCGGAGTTGGGAATGAAACAAAACCTAAACTGGTTCCAACTATGCAAACATGAAGCCTGGCTGTAAAGTTCCCGAACATAAAATTATTAGCAATGAAGATGCACCAACAATATTTCAAACACACGTCACAGCAGCGTTCGATTTCTGAGTTAAATGAAGAAAAATCAATCAAAAATAGTATCAATATTAATTCTAAATGCTAATAATTAAAGAAGAGGCTTTAGGTCACGGACATGGTGGATTTATTTTAGGTTTAGGGAGAGGTGAGTAGAACAAGCAAGTAAAGGAACTCAATGGTGCTACCATTGTGATGACAATACCCTTCAACAAAAACATAATATTCTCTTCATTTTTATGTGATCATAACGGTTATTTATAGAAATCATATTAGTAAATGCAATTTAACTTTTCACTCTAAGGAAATAAAATCAGAGAAATGCCTATCCTTAGATTAAAAAAAAAAAAAAATTGTAACATATACCTTGAATATTGTTATTACAAGAATTTGGGAAAAAGAAGACAACAGTAACAAAATTTGATGGCTTTATGATGCTGTTGCAGAACTTGACCTTCAAAAAACGAGTACTATATATAAAGAATGAAAATATACGAAAATGAAGGCAACAGGAAAAGGGAGCTCCCTTCAGTCCAAGCACGGAGGTAGAGGGGTGAAAACTATCTCCCGCATCATTCACTCAATCACAGTAGCACAAAACTAGTCCTTTTCTACTGAGTAGTTGAATGAATGAGTCGGCAGCTAATTCGACCCCCTTATTTCATCCATGAGTGGACTAAAGGAAGCTCCCTCGTACCATTTCTCACTCCCGCGTCTACCATTATTATTATTCACATAATTCGATTGTGTTCCAGTACTTGGAAAGAGTAGCTTCCCAACCATAAATGATGAAACTATGGTTCCACTGCCTCAGAATACCTGAAATATAATTTCATTTTCAGTGACGCGAAATTATCATCAGTAGATCAGAGGAACAGTACTGCAGACATAGTTTATGCACTAATTTAAAATGGTTTATATTGTATAGAATGATTTACAATTTATTTCTAAACAACTCATTAATGAAAAGAAATTTCTTAGTAATTGAGTTTATTAAATAGTAACATAAATAGTTCTTTTTCTTCCCAGAGAAAAAAAAAAAAAAAAAAATGGTAATATGTACACAGGATAACAATTTCTTACACGTTGATTTATTAAAGCCACACAAAAGATTGCTACGAAATTTAATGCTTGAAAAAACAAAAGCACTCATAAGGAAATTGCAAGAGAGTACAATTTTTTATTTTTTTATTTTATAAAAAATGTAACATAAATAGCTTTCTTCTTTCCAAAAAATAAAAGAAACATATAACAGAAATATTTCACATTTCTTGATAAGGGCATCAAAATAATGCTATCAGCTTTATGCTTGAAAACTAAAAGTGATCATTTAAAGTAATTTATTGTAAGAGAATGCATTTTTTGGGGTTGTTCCAAATTCAACCATTTTTGGGCAATCATATTAAGTCCAGCACAAGAAAGAGAAGAAAAAAACAAGACCAAAATTATCAAATTATACTTGAAACAATTAGTCTTAAAGAGGCAATTCCAAATCCACTAAAGCCATCTAAAAATGAGTATTTTTCTGTAGATCATATGCACTTAAACCTAATTTTCAATCACAAAATACTATTTCGGCCGATATAACGAGTGGAACAATATTTCAAGGATATTACAGTCAACTACTTTAAAGACCTGAAATGAACAGCAATTAAGAAATATATATACCCTCAAAGAATAGGCATAATGAACTTACATAAACCATAGACCTAAACTTAATCATGAGAAGCTAGGTACTATAGAGGGATAAGAAAGACCATTTTCAAACTTTAGCCTAGATTATTGGAAATAGAAATGACCCATAAAGAACAGACCAACTAAAATTGAAAATCCATATTTAGATATGTGTGTGGGTAATGTGAATAGACCTACATGCGTGTGTAAAATTTTATGGAAAGAAAAAAAAAGAAAAAAAAGAAAAGAAAAGAAAAACTTAACTGGGACTAAAGGGCTTGTCTTGGATACTGAAACCCTAAATCTCCATTGATGCTGCATATATTTTTCAGTGTCATGTCACTGCAATGAAAAGAAACTACCACGATCAAAGAACCAAAAAAAAAAAATTTAAACATAAACATATATAAATTTGGATATGCTGCATATGAAAAAAAAAAAAAAGAAGATGAGAGAACAAAGAAAAGCTGTAAACATATAGATAACATGTTGAAGGAAAAATACAAAGTGATATAATGAGATATATATATATATATAATCAGATATGAATAGGGTACTTGCAAAAATTACGGAAGAGAAATGTATTTATGCAAAGAGGTAGATGATGGGTCATTTTCGTCATGTGATTCAGAGACAAGAAAGCGACTTTAAGATCTCAATAAATCAAAGACGATAGAGAGTGAGAGCTAGCTTGATAGAGGAAACATTACCTACATACACAACTATATATATATATATATATATATATATATATATACATACACTTTATGTTACATATTTTGCAAAATCTTCTGAACAAACACACACTCTCTCTCTATATGTATATATAAAGCAATTAACTGAAGTGGAAGAGCAGTTTCCCCATTTAATAGACAGAGGGGTGCAGAGTGTGTGCGGTTGAAGTTTGACCATTAAAATGCTTTCATTTGGGGGATTCCATGAAAGTCTCTGTCTATGAGTACAGTGTACCCCATTGTTAATGGAGGTACTACACAAACAACTGTGACATCTAATTTTATTTTATTTATTTTACTTAATCAACATTACATAGGTATCCAACTCAACTCAATTACTCAACACTCACTGTATAATCCACATTACATCTTTTTTTATTATTATTTACAAAATTACCCATGGGGTAAAATTTTTGTTGAAGTCTTAAAAATGAACCAACCCAATTTTTTATAATACCTGCTATATATTCTTGTTGTTTAAGTGGGTCCTTACTCATCATGGTTCGCAATTGCGGTGTAATAAACTCGAACAAAATTAGTGTAAATTGGTCAATACGAATCGCGTATCGAACTTAAAAAAAGATCGCGTATTGTCCGATACGTCGCCTATTTGAAGTATCAATGATGCTGAAATATCTTCGTTCAAGTTCATACCTAGACACTCACTCAGCAAGAAGATAAGAACCATCAATCTTGTTAGCAACAAATTGGTGAGGTAACAATTTATGGGTTGAATTCCAAGTTTACCATGTCTGCTTCTTGTTAGCAATACACAAACAATTCATGGTTTCAATGATAGTAGTTAATAAAAACTCAAAATGGCCAAATAAAAACTCAAATTAGTAGTTAACAAATAAAAACTCAAAATGGCCAAATTATGTTGGAAAAATAAACTTTTATAAAATAAAAAAAAAAGCAAAAGTACCCTGATACATGCTTCAATTAATCTTCAGAATCTTTATTTGAGTGATCAATACAACGTCAAACGATTGAAATCACCCCACTAACATAATAACGTTTTCCGTCTCAAAGTGTACATTGATATCGATCCAAGTCCTTCAAAGTGAAAATTAATATTCAAACCATCGTTGCAAATATTAAGCTAGTGTTGTGTTGATTCTCTTTGGTCAAGATTACTCATGTTCGTCAACAAAGCAATGAGGTGACTCATGTAGTAGCCAAACTGTTTAGGAATCATCTCCCGTATGATTTTGTTTTGATTCAAATTTCATGAAATATTAAGTTCTCTTATCCCTAAGGAAAAAAAATATGTAAAGAGCGCAAAGAAAATATTAATTAAGTGATCAACGTAAAGTTGAACGATTAAAATCACTCCACCAGCAAAATGCCCTCAATATGCATATCGAAAACGATTGAAATCACTCCACCAGCATAATGCTCTTGGTGCGCACACGAGACATCCAAATGTAGGGAGGAGAGAAAAGGTAATGTGACCTTATGGACAAATTTTGTCTATGTGTTGTTACTGTGTGAGGGGACATGTGAAGTGTCATTTAGATCCCAACATTATCCTTTATTGTATGATAGAAATTGGGGCAATCATACATCACAGCTTTCATCTCTAGGTTTATGCATCCAAGAAAGCTACTGTTCAAATATTCGACAGCTAAAAAGCATTCATCAACACCAAGTTTTTCACAGAAGGGCCTTCTTTTAAATCCACTTGAATCATAGTGTTGGTTGTTTATCTGACAATCTGATTGTTTCCTAGTCCACCACCCATTCGATTCTCTTTTTCCTTTTTCTTCCAAGTCTTCGTATAAAACTTTAATGATGTTGTGATATGGTGATTCAAATTCCTTTGATATTCAGTGAGATTATAAGCCATCAGACAGTTTTCAATTAGAACCATTAGTCATTCAAAACACCAACTCCAACAATACAAAGCCATCTCTCTGAGGTTGAAGAAAGTATATAATATTATGAAAATTTGCATTTCTCTATTACCAAGGTAAATTAAAAGTTTTCATAACTGTTCATTGGTTGAAATACCACATATAAATACCTCTTTCGATTGGTTCAATCAGACTTCTCCAAACTTTGCATAGAGCAAGATACTGTACAAACATGGGTCGAATCTATGGGACCCACAAAATTCAAGAGCTGGCTCCGAACTATATATGTAGATGTAGTCATGCTGCAACTACATCCTCAAGTAGCATCATTTTAAGTGTTTAATTTGATCCGATCCAGTGATGACTTGCATTTAAAGCTCAATCACTCAAATCATTTAGTGATTGAGCTTATCTAGGCCTCCCTTGCATTTGAGTTAGCATTCCTTTAAATGCAAGCTCTGACAGCTTTAATGTGTGCAAGTGGGCATTTAAAAGTACTACTACTCCTACTTGATGTGTGCTTCTTAGTTGAGTTCTGATGATGCCACTGCACTCAAAATGCTACTAATGTTTCCATCTGCACCATGAATAGTGCCTTTGTAGTGTGCTAGTGACCACCTTCCATACCGAGTCTTTTTTCGCCATCATATTATTCTTGCCGGAGTATGAATCTTCCGTGAAGGCGGGGTTGACCTATGCCAGCCTTGCAACCGGTCACCGGTGTGATCATGTCCATGTCCTCACGATTTAGATGGTGGCAGACAGACAACAACATTTTTTTTGTTATCATATCAAAGTCAAATGCCCAAATGCCAATGAGGGTTCTTTGTGTTTCCACAATCAGAATTCTGGGGATAGAACCATTTCATATATTAAAATGTTAAAAGATAAGATAATTTGGGATCTTTTATGTATTATGTATCTTTTGTTGATTGGTTTCATAAGATTTCTAATGGAGTTTTCTCCCTTTAAATCTTTCCATGATCTTCTTCTTTTTTCAGCTCTTCAAATTATTTTTGGTAGTTGACTTCTCATGGTCTTTTGTCCCACATTAGATTCGGATAGAAAAGTGATTGGGTATAAATGGATGGATATGCAATATCATCCAGCAACTTAAACTTTTGGATAAATAGGCAAATGCCCACCCGTTACATTTGATATCAGATTCAGACCTAATTCTTAATCCGGTGTCACGTCAAACGCCAGGCCCGGAAGATGTCTGGGTGAGCCGCCCCTGATAAACTGGGCCCGAAAGATGTCCGGGTGAGCCACATCAGATAAACTGGGTGATGAGTTGAGATGAAAAAATAATTGAGTATAAATAGATAAGTATGCAGCACTATCCAACAACTTGGAGAATATTATAACAAGTTATCCAAATGGTCCATTCACAAAAATGACAACCTAGATGTCCGGGACTTGGTGGCCTCACCCCGAATAAACTGGGTGGCGAGTTCGGATAAAAAAGTAATTGAGTATAAATGAATAAGTATGCAGCACTATCCAACAATTTGAAGAATATTATAGCAAGTTATCCAAATGGTCCATTCATAGAAATGACAACCTATCCAGTTCCATTCTTCATCCTTACCAAGCAGACTTATTAGATCCTCCTCTCTTTTAAAGAAGAGGTCATGGTGTCACATTATCAACTCAAATTAAATGTCCATTCATTTAATTCTTGCATTAATTCTTGAATATCTCCTTTCCTTGGGTGCAACTTTTTCAATACATATTACATACAAACTCCATATATATATATATAAATGAAAAAATAAAATAAAAAAAGTGTTACAGTATGCCTTTAGCGAAGAACAATACAACATAAAAGGAATAATATTTCATTCCTCAAAAAGAATTACCATATATACGGATGTGGGGTTAGAGGACACCCCTGAAGATTTCTCAATCTCATAGGGCAATGGTACATTTAACCTCATGAATACAACGCAAGAACATATTGTTAGTCCATTGATGATTCTGTTGATACCTTCCTTACAGGAAATTTTTTTTTCCCAGAAAACTCCAAGAACGAGGCAATGTCATTACTAGCCTATTGCCGAATAAGATGAGAATTTTGGGAAATAAAATTCTTGAGCAGAAAATGAATTTAGAACAGCTGGAAGAACAGACTTGTTGATCCATCCCCGAAGGATCGCAGATCAGCAGGTCTTACCAAGCTCCTGCACAAAGGACAAGTCCTTTCTCTCTCAAACCTGCATAAGAGGTGGTAGCCAAATGGTCAAAATATGGCACATTGAGCTTGAAAGGAATTACAACCAGCAGTATATGTGCAAAATATGTGAAATCAATTTCTTTATTAAAAAAATAATAATAATAATAAGATACTAGTATATGCTAATTTTTGTTTTAGAACAATAAAAGACAATTAAGATTTCATATAATCATCTTAACTTGCTAAGTTTACTTGAGCATGGTACACCAACTTTGGGGAAAATTTCATCCTTAATTTATGAAGTGAAATAATAGCAAAATCAAGGATCCTCAGTGTTCATCAAAATAGGCATGCTTAACTTGGGAAGCACCTGAAGAGGAAAGAATTGCTACCATGCACATCCATCCTATGTATACAAAATGCACTTCAAAGGAAAATTCTATAATCAACATGAACCCTGTTTTCTGGTACTCCTGTATGTTATGCATGTGCCAAACAGGTGAAGTAAAACTGATTTGACATTCTAGCAAATAGCCCTGTTAGGTCATGTAACTGAGCAATATATATTCTTATGTATTAGCCTTGAGAAACTATGATGACTCGCAATTCACATGTCCCCAACAGTCCAAATAGTATGCAAGGATTCGTACACATATTAAACAAAAAACAATTAAATCACAAAACAGTTGCAAAACTAAGAACACTATAAAGTAATTAAAAACTAACCATTCAGAAACACATTCTTCACAGAAGATGTGCTTACAGCGCAATAAAATTGGAGCATGCATCTTCTCCTGGCAAATAGCACACAGGTCTCCAGCTGCATTTACCTGGCATTTGATTACTAAGAGTTTAAAATACAGGAAAAAACTTATCAAGTTACATAGGACAAGAATATGTGCAAGCATGCATACAATAACACATGCATGTTAGTATGTTACTAAGTTTTAAGAGATTTATGCACAAGACACTAGTGTACTTGTGGACGTATAACAAGAATTGAATTAAAACAACAATATTTGTGAAGCATTCACTCCCTTGCTGAAAGACCATGCTGAACTTGTAACCAAACTTCTTCATGCAACAATTTTTCTCAAAACTAAATAAAACAAGAAACCTGGATTATTGGGTTATCCTCCATTTCAATCATCCCTTTTCAATCTCATCTCATCAATATTCGCTCGCAATTTTAAAATGCAAGTATAAAATAGTTTGGCGCACATATCTGGAGGGAAACAGTGTCATGACCAATAACAAGAAGTGCTTATGATGCCTGAAGTACTAAAAAAATTTGTGGACAGTTCAAACTAACATAAGGAAATGTGAAGCATTCACTATATTTGTATATATATTTCCATAGTAAATGTCACGGAATCAAATTCTATCTTCCCAGCATTCCAATATTTTGTTCGAGTTGCATTATCCAGATCTCTTGTGATTGTACATCAAGAAAGCTAGAATTAAGCATTATGCTTCATCTTGACATTAGTAACACCAAATTCCACATTATTGTCTGAACCTGCACTGCAAAAGGAGTTGTCCAACAATTCCTTGCAATGAGGTTATGCACTTTGCAGTTTTTTGCCCAAGGCATTTAGCACAACCACAGAATTACAGCAAATAAAATTCCACATTGCAGTTTTAAGTGTTATTCGTGACAAGGGCTGTACTTCTAGTTTTCATGCCTGTGTTGTATGTTTGTGCGGGTGCATAAAATGTCATATATATGCCGAATTGCTAGCATGTATCAATGAAGGTGACGCTTCTAATTTTGAACTCCTGATCAACAAGTTAATGCAGCAGAGAATCTGAAAGTAGCTTAAAGATATACCAAACTCCTTTCAAATGCCATAGCATACACCTGCCAGCATCCAGTTTGAAGTTTAAAGCAATTTTAGTAGTTGGATAGTCAAAAGAAACCATATACCTGTTCCGATGTGGCATAAGACCCATAATGGACTTCTTTTCGCGACAATGCCTTCACGGCAGTAAAGAAGGATTGTACCTGAACAGAAACTCAAATAGAGTCAATGACAAAAAAAAAAACAGCACTCCAGTTAAGATTATACGGAGTCAAGGAAACGAACGAGACAGGTCACAGACATAAATTACTTCTACAAGAAATCTTACCTTCTCAACAACTGTTGTAAGCTTGAAAGTTAGGTACAACCCTGTAGTCAGTGATGAAAAGAGGCTTCCATAATCTTTGTTCAAAAAGAATCGATACCAGACAGGTGTCGGTAACAAAGAACGGTATAACAGCAGTGTATATTCGATCAGAGTTAGCAATTGACCCTTAAAAACACAATTATCACTGTCAGGGATTTCTTTCTGATAAATCTAAAAAGTAAATTTCAAATTAGTACATAATTAAGTATTGAATGACTCAGGTTACCTGCCGACGGAAATTATGGCCCCTGCCATTCTTATAATACATTAGCAGCACACACTTCAAAGACATAGCTGCCTGTCGCACCATTATATCTGGAAGCAATAAAATCTATATCAACGTTCCCAAGAGAAATAGATTCAAACTATGACAGATATATACATGATAGAGATGTAGTATAGTAAAGGGGCAATACATGACAAGATGATGATAGTAAAGTAAAATCAATACATGAGGAAGTATAGTGAAAAAGACCTATAAAAGAATAAGAAACCAAATTAGAAATGAACACATGGAGCCTCATGCAAAGTGCACTGGTCTAGCCCCTTTAAACTAAATTAGAAATGAAACACATGGAATTCACACGATGCGGGAGCAGCGGACTAACTACAAACCCAAAATTTGGTATCATTCACACAAAGTGACTGCCCTTGAACTCAACCCTCACCCTTGACAGCCCAAGTGTTTACCATAACACCAAACAATGACCCTTTAATTTAAATACAGAGCTACTAGCATTAAACTAATCAATTAAACATTCTAAGAAAAATATGGACACATCCACCTCCCAAGCTGAAGTTTTCCTAGATAATGAAAGAAAAAACATAAAATGCAATAAGCCGAAGATGAAGAAAGAGGAGTACACATCTAATCACTCCAAACGAATTTACAAATTCTAACCCATGACATTCACTGGTGTACTAAATTTCTCCAACAAATTTCATTGCTTAGTATATATAAGCAATGCTTATATACGGGTTGCAAAAACTCACAAGTCTGCATCATCTATGAGATACTAAATGTATTCATAGCAAAAGTAGCCATGGAATGGGAATACATACCATTTACCGTAATGATGAATATGGCATGCCAGAATGGTGGTATTGCCTTTGGAGGAACCATGAATATTGGGTATAAAAGATCATCATTCCGATACCACCAGTAAACACCAATCACATGAAGCACAAAAATTAAGGAGATGCCAAGTAGAACAGATATTTTTCTCTCCCCCTGCAGAAACAAATAGTTTTTAAGCATGGCAGTTCCTCGTTTTTTTTTTTTTTACACCCTTCTTGGGAGAAGTCGGGTTTGCATGATTGGTATCAAATAAATTCAGCACATAGTAAATCTATTGCACCTTTAGAGCAGTCTGCTTTCGAAGAAAATCATTTGACTTAAACATGACTGCAGTGATCCAGATAGTAACAAAGCAACCTGTGATTCCTCATGGAGAATAAATCATCACTAACTATAAGAAAACAATGTTGACAATGTTCAAATAATAAAAACTCAATCCACAGGATTTTAAAGAAGGCTATAAATGGAGAACTTTTATGACAATTTTTTCTTTAAAAGGGAAACATAGCTTTCAACATACAAAACGTAAGACACTACCAGCATCCTGAATCCATAGAGAAGAATTTAAGTGGGAAAGAACTGAATTATGATGCAGCAGTGGTGGAATCATATAGGCATATTGATTGTGGAGTCATTCGGGGCATCAAATTAAGGTCAAAATCATTATTGGGAGGTTGAGGCCGAAAGAATCTTCTAGTTAAGCTATAAAATCTAGATTGTTCAAGAGGAAGGATGAGATGAGGGGCGTGCTTCAAAGAAAGAAGTTCGAAATAAATTCATCTACAAGATTTTAAGTGGTTAAGCTGACGTCTTCTTCCCTTTTAAGTGGTAAAGCCATCTATATGGTGGGTTAAGATACCTTCCAAGGTGGGTTTCTCTAGGTGGCCGGCACATCCACATCTAATCTTTGGGGGGGGGGGGGGGGGGGGGGGGGGGGAGAAAGGTCATTTTTAATTGGTTTTGTATGTACAAGTAGGACGTGGACTTGGCAGACCATCTTGTAATTTATTGTAGAGTAACCAGGCAAGTATCGTATCTGCAGTTGGCTTTAGTTAGGGCGACATGGGCGTTTCCCATATGAGTTGCGGCCTGCTACTCAGCTGGAAAAGTGACAGAGTTGGTAAGAGGATGAAGGCATGGAATGCTGATCCACTTTGTTTGATGCAATGCATTTAAGGACAGAAAATCAGAAATTTTCTGAAGGATTGAAGGGATTGGTTCACAAAATAAAGAGTAACTTATTGGGTGCTTTATTTGGTTGGCCAGCAGACTTATCAAAAAAAAAATAATCATAATTGGTTGACCACCAGGGAAGGTAACTGCTTGCCATGAGTGTTTTCGGGAGTTCTTAAAATATATAGACTCTTTTGTTCTCTATAAGGATTCCAAGTTTTTTGTGCTCACCATATGTTCACAGGCAGCTCCCTCTCTAATATTCTTGAATGATATAATCTTACTTATCAAAAGAAAATAAAAGTGCTGGTAGCTCATAATAAACCTTATTAATGATCGGCTCAAAATACCTTCTTTTGCAAAACGCATCACATTCACCCTCAATGAACCCTACAACTAGCTCAGGTGGTTTTACTGATGTGTTTGTGAGTAAGGACTAGTGTTCCTTCTTTTTCAGTGAAGTAGTTATCATAATAAATCATAACTACTTCTTTTCATGTGTAAAGATCTAATAGAAAATATTGTCTCTCTTTCAAAATTCATCAACTCCCTAATTCAGAATATTGCCCCGAGGTATCCATATCTCATAAATCAACAATTCTTAGATTACCAAGTTAATTGCATAATTCTTTATCTGAACCCTATCATTAAATTGGCTCTTCAAGTTACCTAGGGTACTCATGTCAATAAAGCATGTGTAATAGGACGAATTCTCGATTTTATAGTGTTATATAAACTACTTTTAATCTATCTATATAGTCGTTTACTTCCTGCATAACATTAATGCATTGGATATCAATAATTGTGATGCTTCATGCCAAGATAGGCCGGGATTAGGTCAAACTTTGCTCGGTCCATATTGTAGAACCAAGCTCACCTAGGTTGTATTTAATTCTGCATCCCCTGGCTCAAGCTTTATGTGTGCCGCAAATCAGGATGATTTTAAGTTAGACTGAACCTGTTTTATTGGATGTGGACATTTGACTTGATTTTAAATGCTCTAAGATATACGTTATATGTTTATTACGCACAATAGAAGATAGCAGCAGCTTCTGTAGGGATGTAATCCGTTTAAGTTGTTTAATCTATGTAATTTTCCAAACAAAAAACAAAACACACACACAATATGCTCGTTTAAGCTGAGGTATACTGCTAGTCTCATTCAATCAGCCTAAAATTGAGCATGCTGAGCCATGCAAATATTAAAAGAAGTAAGATTTACAATGAACTGCAGGCCAAAGTTGAGTTCAGACGAGCTAGAGCCAATCCTAGCTCAGCTATAAGCTCACCTCAACCTAGAACTGTTGATTTGATAAGTGTCGATGTATGAAAGATATTTTCTTTATCTAGTTCAAGATTGATTTGATAAGTGTCAAGTACCATTAGTTCACAAGCAAGTTTGCTTTTATTTGTTCCATAAATCTTTGTTCAGATCCTACTCCACAAATTAAATCATTTTCTAGTTTTTCAGCATCTTAAGCCAACAGATAACATAAAGCTTAGAATACTTTATGCCTCAACAAATATACAAAAAGATAAACAAAACGGAGTGTCTTTTTACAGAAATCAAGCTATGCCAACTGAGACAAAGCTCCCAACCTAATATTAGAATTGGAGGTCCATTCCAAGCCAAACTAGGCATGTTTCAATAATCTCAAATAAGGAGCCATTCCTGGGACTACCTTTCCCAATTCATGCATGAATGAAGCTAACAAACAGGTAGTAATATGTTACATTTCATACTAGATCAATTCGTAGTTGAGTTCCTGATTGAAGACATGAACCCTTAGAATCAGGGTTAAATAAATCACCATTCAATAACAGAACCTTTCACAATTCATGCATGAATGAAGCTGATGGACAGGTAGCACTATGTTGCATTTCATATTAAATGACTTCATGGTTGAGTCCCTGAAGACGTGAACCCTTAAAATTGGGATTAAATAAATCACCATGAAGCTAACAGACAGGTAGCAATGTGTTGCATTTCATACTAAATCACTTCATAGTTGAGTCCCAGAAGAAATGAACCCTTAGAATCAGGGTTAAATAAATCCCCCTTAAATCACAGACACACGGTTAAACCAGACCACATTCATTTTATTATTATTATTATTATTATTATTATTATTATTATTATTATTATTATTATTATCTTTTTTATTTTATTTTTATTTTTTGTGTAAATTATAACAGGTGTTCTTGTTTCAATACTAACACTAAAAAAACCCAGATAACATTTAATCTTACACAGAAGACCAAAACTAAAGACACTCTTCAAACATAATGATAAAAATACAGAAATCCAGAACAAAAACATATATACTACACCATTAGTACCATTAAAAACACAAACAAAAATGATATGCAAGTGTTAAAAGGAAGCTCAATTGAGTACCTTGCAAGTGCTGACGAATGAACACAACCAACAAGAGCAACGAAAACGGAAGAATCTGCTCCATCCACCGAGCAACCTGTTGTATATCGTACCTCTGGTATGACGAATCCGTATTACCACCATTCCCAACATCCCCATTACCCGAATCAGCCGCCTCCGGTGGAGACGCCCTCTCTCCAACCCCAACTTCACCTCCATCCCCAACACCGTCCTCCACCGGACGGTTCGACCCTGACAAACCCACCACCCTCTCAATTTGCCCTACACTCTCGTCACTCTCATCATATGTCACATGGTCCTGTTCAGCTCCGATTATCCTAATTGAAACCTCCCCGTTACTGCCACTGCTGCCGGCGGAGCTCAAATCTTGCAAATGACGGTGAAAGTGGTGGCTTTCGTCATGGATTGTGAGAATTTCCGATTCTTCATTGCTGGGTCTTGGCCGGAGAATGCCGGAATATTCCAACATGGTGGATACCGGCGAGCGCAAGAAGCTGAGACCAGGGAATTCAAAGCGATGGCTTCTTGAATTGCTACTGAGACTAGTACTGGTATCTGTAGAAGAAGGGTTTGTGGGTGTATCTGGATTGGAACCACTCGATGTCTCCATTTCTGGCCCTCTATGTGCACACCAAGAAAGAAATATTCAAAACCCTAACTTGTTGTTCTGTTTCTGGTCTAAAATTTTCTGATCAATAAATGAAAGAGATCGTAAAGGTTGTACAAAGAAGAAGAAGAAGATAGAAAAGTCAAAGGAAACAACTGAGTTGGTAGGGTGATGATATAAATATATATATGTGTGTGTGTGTAGAGAGAGAGGATATTATATAGTATTTGGACGGAGCATGAGGAGTAAGAATGGAGGAAAGGAATGGCGGACGAAGGAAAAAGGGCGGAATGGAAGTGTGTCTATGTTTGATAGAAGATACCAAGAAAGTGAAATGGAGGACTGAACTCACTTTTCCTCTGCATTTAATACCTCTTCTTTCTTAAGTTATTAATTATTATTGTTATTATTTAACACTTTTTCTTTTATATATATATATATAATATGTTATTAAAAATAATATTTTATTTAGTAGGAAAAAAATTTATATTCCTCCATTTGTCTTTTCTGAAAACAAGAAATGACAATTATTGTTGGTAATTTTTTCTGATTATATTTTTTTTAGATAATTAGAAAATAAAAAACAAAGAACTGAAAAATAAAAAATAAAAATCTAATTGACAATTTTTTGAACTGTGTTTTTTTGAAAATTGAGTAAAAAATTGCTTATTTTCATATAATAGTTTTAGTTTTTTGAACTTTTATTTTTTGTTCTAAGAGTTTCCCCTAATTTATAAATATTCTTATACTCTACCATTAACTCAAAAAATGCATTTTATACTTTACATAGAAAATAATTTTATTTTTATTAATTAAAAAGTGCAAGTCAATATCATATCCCTGGCTAATTATAGAATGTATGATGATTATCAAGCCATGCAATAAATCCTTCCTTTCTTGCCAAGGACGTAATACCTACACGTTTGACTAGTAATCCAACTTGTATCAATATATTAAGTCTTTGTTTTTTTTTTTGTCTAACATTGTAACTCAGTCCAACCAACTAATTCGTTGTCAATATCATATATATCCCTACCAACAAAATATATAATGTGTAACTATCAGTCCATACATTAAATCTTCCCTTTCTTGCCAAGGAGACAATACCAACATGTTTTGAATAGTCAATTCAATTTGTATTACAAGTGTTGTGATTAGGTTGCTCTCATATTTGGAATCCGTATTTGAATTTTGCACCATCTCCTCCTTTTTTAATCACTAACTTTTATGGTTTAGCGGGAGCGGAATTTATTTTTAAAATTTTTATTAGGTTCCCATTCCAACTAAATTTTTTATAATATTTATCGGACATACTCTCTTGTGGCCTACTGAAGTTTTCCGTCATGGAAAAAAAAATTTAACTCTCTCTATCTTTCTCTTACCATGTGAATGGCAGAGGTACGATCACTCAACTTTTTTGTTATGTTAATTTTACATATATGTCTTTTAATAATTTGTACAAGTATCACTAGAAATTTATATAAATGTGTTTGATCTTAAAACTTAACACAAAGGCGAGAGAGACGAAATAGAAGAAAAAAAACATGTTTACACAACTTAGCAACTTGGTGGAGACATATTTAGTTATAGATGTAAAGAAAAATATATTTAAAGTAATGCTACTTACACCTATTAGTCTTAATCTATTTGTCTAGCGGTAAGGGTTTCTACCAATTTGATGTAATAAAAAGTTCAAACATAGGTCTCATTCGTTGCATTAAAAGTATAACAATCCTTAAACCTGACAAATAGATTTGAGAAATTGGTATAAAATGACTTTACTTATATTTAATAAGACCGAAAATGTGTTGTACAACATTTTAAAAAAGTGAAAATTAATCGTGAAACTATTATTAATAAATATTTACATAGTTATATTTATTATCTTGGTTCAAAAACTAAATTAACCGTATTATCATTCAACATTGCCCCAACTAAAAAGAAATTTCTAAATCCGTCACTAGAAGAACCTCAAAAGAAAGACACCAAAACTCAGTTTATTATCACAATTCAAGTAAACATCTAGCAATATTATTAGGTTAGATTGGTCAACAACTCATCCTCTTTTGTATTATATTACTTTGGCCCACAATAATTGAAGAACAAGTTGAAATAGAGGAAGTACAAATTAGAAACCGCGTGACCCAGCTACTACAACCATTTCAAACCCTCTCTTAATCTTTAAAAAATGTAAAATACCATGATTCTAGGAAGATTTTGAATAATAAAACATTCTTTCTTTAACTCAGTCAGTGTGTCGGTTATTAAAAAATTGTTTTATTTTTAAAATTTTAAAATAAAGTAGGAAAAGATTAATGGTTGGCTACATGACTCCTAACTTCCTCATGTTTATTGTTTATATCTTGTTTGCCATCTACGAAAATGGAAAGGAAAAGAAAAGAACAATGATTTATCAGTCATTGACTTTCTTATATAAAATTAAAATGTTCTTTAAGAATAAAAAAATCAGATAAAAGTAAAGAGAAGTCACATTTGAAATATATATATATATATATATATATACTTGGATCACGTGGCCAAGAAAATGGTGGTGGAAAAAAAAAAATTAAATTACTTTTTAGCTTTATTTGTTTTGGCGTTTGCAAGTTTGAGTATTTATTTTTTCTTTTCATATTTTTTTTTAAAACGTTTATAATGTGGATTTCACTTTCAACCCTTTTTAAACGAGCTAAACTTTTAAAACAGTAATTTAAAGCATAGACTTCGAATTGATTTGTAAAATCCATGTTAACAAGAATTTGGAATTAAAAAATTTCAAATTGACATGTAATCCCCATTCATTTTTTTCTCGTATCATATTTTACTAATTATGACTTGAAAGAAATAAAGTTGATAAAGAAATCATATATTATAAATTAAAAAAGAAAAAAGAAAAAATATACAAATGGATGAGGAAGTGGAGGATGAATTCAAGGAGTTACCTCTTTTATTGAAAGACAATTTTATCATCTGAATATTAATTTAGAATGTTTAATAAACATGTAAGACCAAATTATCCTTTCTTGGTGACAATTAAGTTTCAAATTTGGTGAGTATCCATCTTTTTCAAATTTTGTGATCGTAATTTTGTTTAAATTTGGTCATTAAAATATAATTTTCTTCACATAAGCATTTATGTTTCGTTTGGTTTGAGGGATAGAAAAATTGATAGAAGAGATAGGAGAAGAGATGAATAAAGAATCCTAAGGAAGGGAATGTATCTTACCTATTTTTTGTTTGAGTGAATGGAGTGGATTGATAGAAGGGAATGATAATTTTTATAACTTTTTTTCCAATATATCCTCACTGTATAAAATAATAAAAGATAAATATTTATTTGAATTTTTTTTTAAAAAGGTTAAAATTGGAAAATGAATATTTGTAGGTAGATATTAATTTTTTCACTCCTCCCTTTTATATTATTTTTTACCAATATACACTCACAGTATAAAATAATAAAAGGTAAATATTTATTAATTTTATTTTTAAAAAAGGTTAAAATTAAAAAATGAATATTTGTAGGTAGTTACCAATATTCATTCTCTCTCTCCACCGTCCTCAAAATTGGACGGATAGAAAAACAAAAAATTTCATCCATTCTTCCTCTCATCCATCACCTTCAATCATTTTAGGATTAAAATCATTTATTTTTAAATATGAGTGCAACAATAAATATTGTCTCCCAAAAATAAGGCAAAATTGGTATCAGAAAAAAGTTTCATGAAACTTGATACTAATTTTTAATTTTTAGATAGATAACAAAATTTATTTCCTTCTAAATCCCTCAATTTTCTTTCTTTCCCTTGTTAAAAATTCATACAAAATTAGGCAAAATTGGTACGGAAAAAGTTTCTTGAAACTTTATAGTCCTTTTTCACTCTAGGACGATAACAAAATTGCTCATCTTGCCTAATTTATGTCCTTCTAAATCCCTCAATATTCTTTATTTTCCTTTTAAAAATTTACAATAAACCCACATACACTATTTTCCTTCATCATTAACTTTCGTTTCTTTTCTTTCCCTCGGCACCCAAACGGCACATTAGTAATACCAAGAGTTACTCGCAATGCTCCCCTAGTCACGATCCTCCAATCCTCCTCAAATCGGCAATCTCCCACGGTTAAGAGCCGACGATCTCCAACGGCCCAGAGCCACCATATATATATATATATATATATATATATACACACACACACGTATAGATATACCTGAAGAATTGAAAATCGAATGGAAGGAGGAGGAGAGACGAAAGAAGGGAGCCCGACGCCGATCTTCAGAGATGTAAGGCGTTACAATTGCAACTACTGTGGCATCTCACGCTCTAAGAAGTCCCTTATTACCTCTCACATACTCTCCCTTCACCAGGTCAATTTTCCTTTTCTTTCCATCTCTCACTCTCTTCTCTCCATCAATTCTTTTGCTTTTCTCATCTTGTTTTATTAAATTTGTTATTATTATTATTATTATTATTATTATTATTATTATTATTATTATTTGTTTTCGTCAATTAGGAAGAAATGAAAGTGCGAGTAGCAGATGAAGAACATGAAAGAGAGGGAGCAAAGTCAAATACGTGTGAAGATTGTGGTGCCAATTTCCGGAAACCTGCTCATTTGAAGCAACATATGCAAAGCCACTCACTTGAGGTAATTTTCTTTTCTAAGCTTTTATTCATTTTTCCATTTTAGTCTTTGTTTTGCTCATATATTTTGACCCATCATTTAGAAACAAAATGTTTATGTAATATTTTTTTAGTTCAACATTTGGAAATCTCTAATGTTCAGTCTGGACTAAACTGAGTTTTGTTCTGTTCAAGTTTCATGGCCAATAGGTGCCTTTTTTTTTTTCATTACTATGTTATATAATTTTCTGTGTTAAGTTATTAACTCATTTTTGTTGGATGGTTGCTAGAAGATTCTCAGTTTTTATACAATGGATGTAGTTATGAAAAAAGAAATAGAAAAGAAGTTTTTGTAAACAGGTCTGTGTTGTATGTATGCGTCATGATTCTCTATCCATGGCAATTAGCTCTGCACTTGGGCTTGGAAAATATTTTTTTTTATTTTTACTTTTTTGGTGTTTGGCAAAGGTGTAGGTTATCGGACAGGTCGTGTAAAAACCTTGCCGAATTTTAATGGGTAAGTTATTTTTGTTAGGTTATAATTTTTTTTTTTCTTCCTAAATATTTTCCCATAACCAAACACCATAAAATAAAAAAAATATTTTCTGAAAAATATTTTACATCCAAACAAATGGAGCCCTAGTGGATGAAATCTCAATATATATAAAATTAGAACAGAAAGGGATTTGCAGTAGATTATAATGGATAACATATAGGGTTGTGGTTTTATTTTTCTTAGTTTTCAGATAAGCAAACACAATATGTAGGAACACATCCCGAAAATAGTGTAGGAGAAAACCTTAATACTGTAACATGTTTGATTTTCAGAATACAGCGATGATTCAGTTGGTGTTAAACATGATAGAAACGTTTTTAACTATATCTTATAATTTTTTATGTTAATGTAACACCAAGTTAATGTTGATCATATACTTTATTATACCCTTGAACTTCAAGTTTAGCATAGCTGGAATATCTTCTGCCGCTGTTTACTATTCTATAAATCCTTAGATCTCAAATTTCGATAGACATGTATAGCTTTAATTGCTAGACGTATCTTAACACAGTCTTTTTTCTGGTAAAAGAACCATAGGCTTTTGGGGTTCCTTCGCTTATCTCATGGATGATGAGATTTGGAATGTGATAATTTTTTTTGAAGTTCTATGCTGAAGTTTTTAAATATATAGCTATTAGTTCTTTTAATCACTACTTGCAGCAATTGAAACTAAATGAACTTGCAGGTCTGAAGGTATTTTGAATGATTAAATTAATTTTTCAAAATCAATGGATGTAGTCGCGTGAAGCATTGGATCCCACATAATGAACTCCAAAATGCGAGAGGCAGCAATAATGCAATATCTACCTTGAATGGATCAGTACCAGGTAGGGGGACCTCCTGAGAAGCTCCACCAAGTGAGCCTCAACCACGCTTATTTCAGTCTGGAGGTTTGAAATTTATTTTATTTTATTTTATATGTGTGTTGGAATTGAGTTCTTCTACCGTCATTTGCTATACATTATACTCTTATCGTGTCACAGAGGCCATTTACTTGCCCAGTGGAGGATTGCCATTCCAGTTACCGAAGAAAAGATCACTTGACCCGTCATCTTCTTCAGCACCAGGGGAAACTTTTTCAGTGTCCTGCTAAGAGCTGCAACCATAGATTTGCTTTCCAAGGTAACATGAAGAGGCATGTGAAGGAATTTCATGATGAGGAGTCTCCCTCCAACAATGTTGAAGGTCGGAAAGAGTACATCTGCCAAGAAATTGGGTGTGGGAAGGTGTTCAAATATGAATCAAAGTTGCGAAAACATGAAAATTCACATGGCAAGTGGCTGTCCTCACCAATTCTTTTATATTCGTTTTCAACTACTTAAGAGATGTAAATTGATATATGCTAGCTACACTCCTTATATGAGGTTGGTGGATTTCATTTGAAAGCTTTGATGACAACCATTGCTCTTGCAGTTAAGTTGGATGCGGTGGAGGCACTCTGTTCAGAACCAGGCTGTATGAAACATTTTAGCAATGAGCAATGCCTCAAGGCCCATCTACAGTGTTGCCACAGCCATGTAACCTGCGAGGTATGCGGGACCAAGCAGCTGAAGAAGAACATCAAGCGGCACCTTCGCATGCATGAATCAGGGGGGTCATCAGACAGAATAAAATGCAACTTCAAGGGCTGCCTCCACACTTTTTCAACTGTAAGACACAAATACGCCTTGCGAGAATTTTATTGGTAATCCATGTAACAATTGTATAAGTTAATATATATAAATGCTTTTCTTGCTTTTATGTGAAACCAGGTAAATTTCTACCTCAAAAGCAAGAAATATATTTCTAGAATGGTAACCAAATGATGCTAACTATACAAGTCTATCCGATGAAAACTGAATTGTGTTATATGATTTTTGGAAGGAGCTACTGAACTTTAATGTCCTCCCTTGCAGTTAAATATCATTTTGCTTTTAGTGATATTTTTTTCACCTATGTGCGCAGAAATCAAATCTCCGTCAACATGTCAAAGCTGTACACTTTGAACTCAAACCTTTTGCCTGTAGCATTCCTGGGTGTGGCTTGAGATTTCCATTCAAGCATGTGAGAGATAACCATGAGAAATCTGGGTTACATGTCTATACTCATGTAAGTTGTTGCTCGAATCTATAGGTCACTTTAACGCTGTTGCATAACAGATTTCGTGTGTCTATATCGGTAATATTCGTTTTTCTAAACCTGGTGGGAAAATGGAATGATGTTTGGGTGTGCAATTGCCTTTTGTTCAGGGGGACTTTGAGGAGTCTGATGAACGATTCCGACTGAGGCCAAGGGGTGGACGCAAGAGGAAGTGCCCAACGATAGAGTCTCTTACGAGGAAGAGAGTTATTCCACCAAGTAATTCTGATTCTATTCTGAATCAGGGGTCCGAGTACCTCTCTTGGCTGCTCTCCTCATCGGAAGCTGAGGACCAGCCTTGAGTTATTGATGGTTTGGCATGTGGAGAGATTTTTTTGTGATGCATGACTTCTCCAAGAGATCTCCTTTTGTTAGTAGTTAGATGCATTGGAAAAAATGATCATGAGAAATGAATATATATTGTGGCTCTCAATGAAAAAGTATTTGTTCAATGAATATTTATTATTCAGTGGTGGTCCGTGTTATTAATCATGTATCTTTTTTTGTTAATGGGGTGGAAATGTTTTTCCGACTCGAGAAAAGGTTGGTGTTCTGTACTAAGTCACATAATTTTTCTAAACATGAGTCGCTCTCACGCTCAGCGCGGGCACCCGCTATTGCGTGCTCCGCGTACGCTCTTGCTCCCAATCCCACTATGTATGACTTAAATTTTGCTGCTTTCGCGCTCCTGTTCTCGCACTCACTCCTGTTCTTCCAACTGCTCTGTGAGACTTAGGTTCTGCGCTATTATTCGAGTGAATGTCAGCTATTATATGCATGAAATGCTTTTTGTTTGTTTTTGGATGAAGTTTCTTCTGAGTTTCAGCTTGGTAAAGCATATTATAGCTCTTGGCATTATGTAAATTGCTTTGAATGAAATTTGTTCTTGTTTCCCAGATGTAGTATTTTGGATGTGGTGATGTACTATTTTGGATGTGGTGGTGTTATTATTGTAATAAGGTAAATCCCATTGTTGGTTAACAAAATTCATGTGTATGGCGTACAAGAAATTATTAAATGATACTTGTTGATTAAGAAAAAGTGAACTCACAAGAATATAATAATATATTATAAGAAAATTTAAATATTAATTTTAATTGAATTAAACCATCAAATAACAGATAACTCAAAATCATCTAATAATTTTTGGCATAAGTAACTATTTTTATTTTTAAAAAAAATACGAAAATACAGTAGTAATCCAGGTGCATCTTACTCCTTTCCTCATAAACCCAACTCAAGTCCATCACAGTATGATAAGCAATTTATATATATATATATATATATATATAATAATTTTTTTTGACACCAATTTATTTATTTATTATAAATGGTATAACAGCAAATAATATATAAGCAATTTAAATGTAACTCTTTGAGCCCAATGAGCAGATAAGTATTTGGCCCATATTATTGTTACAGTTGCTTGATAGTCCTTTACAAAGACAATGCTGACTTGGGCCCAACTCACCAAGCCCATAACAATTGCCTTCCGCCATGGAGGCGCCTGCAAGTTATCGGTCAATTAACCAAACTCTCTCTCTCTCTCTCTCTCTCTCTCTCTCTACATAAATACATACATATAAACGTCTATTGTATTTTAAATTGATCAGTCAAGCAGTTGATCGTCCTGAGTTTGTGTTTTCGTGAATCTAAAAAGGAAAAAATGTCAAAACCCTCAACAAGAATTATCCTGAGACAGCTTCTTCATTACCACATTCCATCAAAACCCTCATCACCCGCTAACCCAACTGCTGGTACTGGCATATCTCAATTTCTCTCTCATCACCCAAAGCACAGTCCTCTCACTCCATGGATTTCGATTTCTCAGAGAGCCCACTTCTCATCATCTTCAACACCATCATCGATTTCAAGAATCTTCCAAAACCCAGCTCAAAAACTTAGCCCCCAAACCAATTTGTTGTCTAATAAGAACTTTCTAGGGTTTAGGTACTTAACCTTCAAAACTTCAGATTTAGGTACTAAAATTAAAGGGAGTTCGATGAAGAATGCGGTGAAAAATCCGGTGTCGGCCGTTAAGGATGGGGTTTCGCGGTACAAGCAAGCGGTTGGGCTGCAGATTGAGGCGTTCTGGAAGAGGAATAATCTGGTGCTGTTGGGTGCGGCAGGTGTTATGGTGTGCATACTGTTGTGGAAGCTTTTGTTTGGGGTTGCCAACACATTCATTGGGTTATCAGAAGGCATGGCCAAATATGGCTTTCTTGCTCTTTCCTCCGCTATCGTCGCATTTGCTGTAAGCCCCTTTTCTGTTTCTGAACTGTTTAGTTGCTTAACAATGTTGGTATCTAGTATTTTGCATTCATAGGTTAACTGAGACTTTGCTTGAATATATTGCATAATTGTGGCATTACATTGATTGGTCAAACAATTAATTGATGCATATAGTATATTCCAATTATTTGAGCACAATTTCTGAAAGTTTGATTATAATATGCCTACTCTCCCTGTAGATTTTGAATCCATATGCATTTAGGTTTAAATTGGTTTAGAGACTTGATGGTTGAATATGTAGGTTGGGGTTTGCATTTTGACCAAGTAAACAAAAAATCTCCCCACAATTCTTCATCGGAGATATCTTATTGTGTCGAACAATCAGTATACGGAATTTCAAAAAAATGAAATATAATTTAACTGAGGAATGAATGATAATGAATTTTTTTTTTTTTTTTCCTAGTTTGTACTCACGCACACATGTTTCTTCTTAGACTTGAACCCCTGACCTCTCTTATGAGGAATGAATGATAATGGTGTTGACAACACCATACTGGTGAATTCCGCCTTCATCCAAGTATAACATCACTTATTCGGATTATATGCATTTCATGTCCAGCTTGCAAGGCAGCAGCAACCGAAGGATATTTTTTGGGGTAGGCTCGAGATATATAATGCTGTGATCCATGGTACCAGATCTGCTAACTATGCAGCAGTTTTATCTATAATATAGATTATTCAAAATCTAGTAACTGACATTCTGTAACAATTCATTGCGGCTTCTTATGCTGGTCCTTTTTTAGCACTCAAGTTTTATTGTTTTCTCATATTTATGGGAATTGTGAATTTCTGACATGTTCTCTGTGTTGGTGCTTAGCTTTGTTGAAGAAGAATATAATTATTTTATATTTTAAGCATAGTTGAGGGTTACCAGTGGATGGAATAAAACATCTTGTTAATTGCAAGTGCTTGTTGGAGAGAGTTGTTGTACCGTTGTACGTATTTGTAATTTGCTACCTCCTGAAACCAGAATATAATTACTACTATTAAGCAGAATTAATGGCTACAGTGGATTGAATAGAACATGTTTTTTTAGTTGCAAGTGCTTGTTAGAGAGAGTTGTTGTATATATAATTGTACAACAACTGAATGTAGAATATGAATAAAGAATATGATTTAGTTATTCCTAGAAACTTTGAATATGCCTTGTGCTTTAGTGTAACAATGGAATGAATCTCCACTTTCTTGCCTCCGGTTTGTAAAACCCTACGTCAAATCAAATATCATGAAGGCTGAAGCACAGTGCACATGACTGGGCTGGGGGCTGTGCTCCTTGTTTGATGGGATTCCACCAGTTGGACCTCTCAAGTCTTCTATAAAACTGTTACTTTTATATTATCTTCATTCTCACAATCATCTCATTTTTAATTTGCAAGCTCTGTTGGATTTTTGTAATTTTTATGAAGTCCATCCATAATTGATTTGACAGGTCCCTTTTTTTCTTTTTCTTTTTTCCCATGTGTATGGGTGCATCATTTGTGTGTGTGTGTCTTTGGTGGGTGGGGGCTGCTGAAAGTTTGATTTCCTTGGGCCAATGATTCTAGATCGACTCTGGTTTCTAACTCTTGCTGGAAATCTTTTGACAGTCATCTCATTTAAACCTGTGATCTCTTTTGGAATTTGTGTGATTCTTATGGAGTCCACCTGCAATTGGTATGATAGGTCTTTTCTTATCCTTTTCTTTTTTCCCTTTGTTACTTTTGTGTGGAGGAAGGAGAGGGTGGGGACCTGTTTGTTGAATTCTCGTTTTGCAAATATTTGTAGATCAACTATGATTGTAGATTGTAATTATTGCTGCCAATTGCACCCAACTTTTTATTGAAGGAATATCATTGGTGCTTTTTGTGATGTTAAGGGCTTGTATCTCCGTTCAAGATTCACCATCAATCCTGACAAAGTTTATAGAATGGCCATGAGGAGGCTTAACACATCTGCTGGGATTCTTGAGGTTATGGGTGCTCCACTCTCAGGGACAGATTTGAGAGCATATGTGATGTCAGGAGGAGGGATTTCACTGAGAAACTTCAAACCAGGGTTTCGGAGCAAGCGATGTTTTCTCATCTTTCCAATACGAGGCTCTGAGAGAAAAGGGCTAGTCAGTGTTGAAGTCAAGAATAAAAAAGGCCAGGTTTGTTTTTATACTTGCTACTTTGTGTGTGCGCGCGCGAAAACCCAATAAATATTTTTATTCTTGACTGGGTCCACAATTTTTAAACTCAACCTTCCTACAGTTTAATTTGTTAAGGTGTAAAATTGATTCGGGACTTTTTCTTGTTGGAGTTGAACTAAACTTTTGCCTTTATTTTCTTGATTGAAGTCTGTGGAATGTGGATTGCAGGAAGCCAAGAATAATACCTAATTTGTGAAATATACGGTGATGGTGGTTGGGCTCTGCTAGTGTGATTTTTCCAGTCATAACTTGCTCCTGTTTGACATGCGGGAATCACAAGTCAAGTTCAATTGGAACAAATTAGATGTCCACCATTGGTGGCTGTTTCATTTAACAAGCAACAAGTTTTGTTAACCCCAACTGAAGCCAGAAAGGAAAGAAGTGTGCTTTTTAAGTTTCCCCTACAACATTTGGAAATGAAAAACCCATAACACTTTTGATTTTTTTCCAGGAATCACTCTGAAGTGTAGCCTTAGAGGCTTTCTTCATAAGAACAGTCGAAATGTATTTTTTATTCAATAAAACTACAAACAAAAGAAAGAAATAGTATATTGACTTAAAGGCTTGTATTATGTATGTGCTTAGCCGGGTTGCTGATATGTCGAATTAGAAGCTTACGTGAGCATTTGATTTTCTTCTTTGTAGTATGATATGAAGTTATTGGCGGTGGACATTCCCATGGCAACAGGACCTGACCAGCGCCTGTTCCTGATAGGGGACGAAGAAGAGTATGGGGTTGGTGGTGGAATGATTTCTGAACTAAGAGATCCTGTTGTGAAAGCAATGGCAGCAACCAAGGAGTTTGAAGATCGTGATCAAATGGAGGATGAGGAGGATGCCGAAAGAGAACTTCAAGAGGCAGAAAGAAAGCACCGTGAAGAAATTGAAAAGCTTGAAAAAGATGGCTCATAGTGATTTGTTTCATTTCGTTTGCCTACATATTGTTTGCTGTTTTAAAATTTTCACTGGCTTTTTGTTCCTTGACCAGCCAAACGGGAAAGATAACTGTAACTGATATAAGGGCTCATTGCGTCAAATATAGAGTCAAGTTTTGCAAGGTTTGAATTACCTTGTACGGCTAGTGTTGATAATTCCACAGTGATAACTTTGAGATGTGTGTCCAACTGTGCCCAACTGAGACATATGGAGCATGTCCTTGGGGCATTTCTTAATAGTTCAGATTTAGTTTCAGCGATGTTCATGTTACCATGTAATAAATCACGTTGCTTGATATTCCAAAGCTGCAAATTCTGTGTCCCCATTGGACTATGTAAGAGTGTAGAAGCAATTTCTGGGAAGAATGATGGCTGAAATTGTTTTTGAAAACCTACTTTTCTAGTTGAGTGTTATTTTCTCTAGTCAATAATGAAAACCTTTTGCTCATTTATTTAATTGAAATTACTCTTAATAGTCATATTATTCTGCAAATTAAACTGCAAATATTGGAATGTTCATCTTCGCGTTGAGCAGGTTGACATTTCACAGTTTTGCAGGTACATTCGCTCCGTTGTTCCATTCAAGTTTTGCAGGTACATTCGTTGCATTTTTCCATTAATTTGATCGATAGGCATTGTACCTTCTAGATCCCCTGATCTACACACTGGCTATGTCTCCTATTAATTTTCCAAATTCTTAAACAGAAACAGTTTGAAAGTCGGTTCCTTTTTGTTTCATTCTACCTTAGACTCTGCTTCTTTTCCAAGACTCCGGCACGGCTATTGGCGATATCATCAACATATTTTGTGATCTAAAATGAACAAAGCAAAATACCAAACCACCTTCATATTCATTATTCAGAAGGCAATTAGTTCATATAGAAAGCTCAAAAGGTTCAGCTGAGTAATACACATTCACAGCCCTTTTGACTAAATGACTAGTTCTCAATTTCATCCAAGTCAGCATAGAATGTAGCTTTATAGACTACTTTGACAGCCTGATACTACAAATTTGGCTAAAAAAACGAGCAATATCACTCTCAATTCACAGATCATGATCAAGTAATGTTGGGCTAAAATTTGTTTTGGTACTAAAGCTTCGTGCTTAAATGTCATTTCTCAATAAACAAATCTTATTACATTTTTAACAGATACTAAATACAAAACAAGCAATTCATTTACAATCAGTACAAAATGGGTTGTAGCACTTCAATCATAAAGAAAACTGTAGCACTTCACTCATAAAGAAAACTGGATGAGTTACAGTATAAGTCGCGGCAACGATATCCATAGGGCCCCCATGTCTCCCAGATAAATGGCAAAAACATTCATCATTTAACTCGACTTCAACGCTAACACAAGTAATTTGAAACCATTGTCTTGCCTCAATTGATGCTCATTGAATTTCTTGCCGGTTTATGACCCAAGGATGGGAGAGGCTGCAAATTTTGACTAAGTAGAGAGTCAAATTTCACTAAAGATGGAAAAGGATGCGTGCGTGCGTGCGTGTGTGTGTCTGTGAGAGAGAGAGAGAGAGAGAGAGAGAATTACTAGCCAGCATTTATGTAGCAGAAATTGCTTTATAGCCCTCCTTCTCAAGAACTTTTGCTATGGAGATGTCTCCCGTCTTCACAATTCTCCCATCCTCCTAGAAGATGATTGATGTTTATGAAAAAAAATTAACTTGCTGTTTCATGGTAAAATGTCAAAATTTCAGACTATTTATATTCAATGAAATTTAATTATTTTTCTTAAATATGAACAAACCACACAAAACATACTACATATCAGCCCGATCGAATTTCACTCCTGTTTGATACATTTTTTGGAGATAAATCTTGATATATCTAGAATCTGTCTAGATTTTTGTAGATATGTGACTAAATTGTACTAAAAATATTTATATATTTAGAAATGAGAAAATAATAAACAATAGTAGATTTTTTATTTATTTATGTAAAAATAGAAAAATCTAGAAAGGGTGAGGAGTAGAAGTCAGCTATAAATACCCAAACCAACTGCATATGAAAACAAAGACATGAAGCTTTTCAGTCTTTACTTGAGAGCAAGTGCTCCAAGAAATAAAAACATTTTTTACATTATCAAAGTTTCAAAGGGTTCTAACATATTTAAAGCAACAGACATAAAGATTTTATCCCACTGTCTTGTATGTTTTTTAAAAGTTGTAAGTGCCAACCAACATGCATTATGTTAAATAATAGTGGTTGACCTAGATGTGAGGCACCAACGAACAGTGGATTTGTTCATTGGTTGCTCAACCTTTCCTTATAATACTTAGTGTCATGATGTGATGCCATATGAAGGTGACTCTAAATATTTCTTCTCGAAGTTTCAAATTTCCCTTGAATAATAACTAGCGACCACCAAGGATGGGACTGGATAGGGAAGGAAGAAGGGGAATTACCATAAAACAGCCAATTTAAAACCAAATCCTTAAACGTTAAATTGCAATCAGACACCCTCACATTTTAACGTTAATTTAGAAGAAATTGCATGTTAGGAAGAGGAAAATTTTCACGATAGCGGAAGGCACAAAATAAACTCAAACTTACAGCAGCTGATTACCTTGTTTCAATAGGACGTGTATTAATAAATTGTTTTAATTTCAAGGAATGTGGACACACCATGATGCATATCTTTCAATTTCTGATACAAATTACCTTATAATAATTTGTCACAACTCACAAATTATAGCCAGTTTCTAGTTTACTGTCATTCCAAATAGGAGGTGCAGGGCTGCAGGATTTAAGTGTCAGTTGGCATGTGGATACATATTTATTTTGTATTTTTAACAACAAAAAACAATAGCAGCAACAACAACAATAATAACTCGATTTAAGTTTTTTCCCCCCTTTTGAGGCAAAACATAATTATTGACAATGGACAACTTGCTTACCATAACATGGATATAGGTTGGCCTTATGAATTCCAGGAGTCGTAGGTAATGGGTAATCATCAAAACAGAATTCTTCGAATTCAAAAGCCTATTCACTGCTTTTGCAACATCTCGGAGCGCATCAACATCTAATCCAGAATCAATTTCGTCTAAAATAGCCAAGTCTGCCCCCAGAACCTGCAAGAGGAGGAAGTCAAATAAAGAAGGAAACAATTCTGAAGCATTTGGTCATCTATTCTATATTCGCAATATGAGTGATATCTAGCGAGTAGTGACATTTAAAAAAAAAAAATCAGTGGTATTCGTGATATTCAAAATAATTTGAAGAGATAAGATATTTCAAAATAAAATTTGATAATTCCTGGAGATATTTTGAATGCTGAAGTAAATCAGACAAGAAAAAGCAGAAACAAGATCACCCGGTCAAGATTTAACACACTTTTCCCATCTTCACTACAGTGTTCTAACTGCACAATGGAAAACAGAAGACTACTGGGCGCAAGAAAATAAATCAAAGTTTTACTAATCCATACCGCAAGTTGTAAAATCTCATTGCGCTTCCTCTCACCTCCGCTAAATCCTTCATTAACATTTCTATTTAAAAGGTCTATCTTCATATTCACTAGATCAAGCTTGGGAGATATGTAGCCATAGAACTGCAAGGATGAATTTAATTAATTAATTAACCAATAATTCCCTGAAGCGAAATGTAAATATCTCATTACCAAAGATGACAAGCGGAAAAAAAGAAAGAAGAAAAAAAAGATAAGAAACCAGCATGGCAGGTACTGATAATTAAGCTACCAGCTCTTTTGATAAATCATATAATTATGAGAAAACAATAAGAAAGATAAATCATTAGCATATAAAAGCAAGCAATAAATACATTGAGATTAACAAGGTAATCTTAGCTTATTTCAGAATCAATAACAGTGACACACATACAGAACATGGGACAAAAAAAAAAAAAATCCTTTCAATCACAGTAATTGGCGAATCATGTTACAAACGAATAACAAATAATGTTACCATAGTCCAGCTTTTATCTTGTGCCTTCTAGAACAATGTGAAAATCAAATCCTTACCAGAAAAATAACAAATATAAACATCAATTTGTATCTGAATTATAGTGTGCTCCAAAGAGAAATAACATCATATGCAGGTATATTATAGAGCTTTTATTAAACTTGAATATGCAATCGACCATTTTTTTAAGGATGATGCTCTGTTCTTTAATGCCATTTATATAACGTGTGAATTTATGGGTTTTAGTTGTTGTAGCCTCACTGTTGGACTCCTTGTTAGTGTTTGTGTTTTCTCTCTTTGTTTTCCATATTGGATCTCTTATCTTCCTTTCATTGTTGTAACTCAATGGAAATGCCTCATTGTCTTCCCTGGTATGCGGACGCCTCATTATTTCTTCACTTCTTATAAGAAAATGAAAGAGATGCAACTGAAGAATACAAAGGATGCTGACTCGCTCTAGATGAAATCTTAGGGTTGCAAATTATACGTACCTCAATTGGTCCAAGCTCTGGAAGACCAAGCCTTCTCCTTTGAGCATTATAAGCCATATTCAAAAAATCAATATTGCTAACACCGGGAATCTCCACTGGGGATTGGAAGCTCATAAAAAGCCCAGCGACGGACCTCTCCTCTGGCTCCATATCAAGCAGGTTCTCGCCTTTAAATGCCACACTGCCACCTGTAACTTCATAATCTGGATGGCCAACCAGAACCTACAATTATCAAAGCCTCATTGAGAGTTTTGGACATGGAATAAGCAATTTGTCCCCTTTGCTTGTCACAGGCAAACATAAAAACCAATTATAAAAACCGTTCAACCAGAAAACAATAAACACAATTGGGACAAGGAAGAGAGTTAGGATGTCAAGACTCCAGAGAAGGAAAACGGGCTAAAGAGTAATGGACAGAAATCCAATATCTTCTAGACTTTTTCATATGCGAATTAGAACAGATATTGATAAAAATAAAATAACCTTATAAATTGCTACATTTTCCGAACATATTGTAATTTGACGTTAATAAAAATAAAAATAAAAATAAGTACAAAACAAAATTGAAGAAGGAGAACAGCATATCTAGGACAGACAGCTGCACAGCAGCCAACAAGGATCACAATAACAAAATTACAAGACAAAACGTGGGAATCCTGAATAATCAGTTCAAACATTCATTACATTTACAGCAGTAAGTATATAGTTATCGGTTCAATAAACACAATTGATCATTCCATCTGACGAAAAGTAAGCACCAACCTTCGCAAAAGTGCTCTTCCCAGAACCATTCTTCCCCATGATGGCATGAACCTAGCAGAAATTCAGACTTGAATTAAGCATTTGAGCTGAAACATCTACAATCCACAAAAGATGGAGTATTACACTGTAATTAATTAAGTTCCCAAATCCAGATGGATAACTATAATACCCTGTTACTTATGTTAAGCATAAAAAAATTCATGAATGTTCACATTGACTAATAAGAAAATTAGTACAAAATTTTCAATAACAAGACAATACAAACACACACACACACACACACACACACACATAATTCAGGAAAAGAAATAATGTCCTATTTATTTCTAAACAATAAGGTTCATCATTGTTAAGACTCTATGAATTTGTATCATTAATTAGCTAAACTGTTTAAAAATATGCTTCAATTGAAAAGAATGAAGCAGCTCAAATTTATATATGTGTATTGACATGAAATAAGAAGAGTGGTTTGAGATCAAAGACCTCTCCTTCGTAGACGGTGAGGTTTACGCCCTTAAGAATCGGCTGTTTCGATTCAGCAATCACTGCCGAAAGGTCTTTAACTTCAAGTAGAAGCTTTGGGGAATCTCCGGCGTGGTATACGCCGGATTCCGCCGGAGAATCGACGGCGAGGCTCGCGTTCACTATCGGACGCCGACTGTTCAGGCCGTACCGGCGACGGAGGGCAGAGACTGTAAATAAGAGCGAATTAGATGTCGATTTTTGGGACGGAATAAGAGGGTAATGTGAAGGACGTTCCAAGAAATAACAAGAATGAAGGAGAGCCATCGGCGTCGGTGAATTTCAGCTTTCGTCCCAGCTAATCGACGTTGGAAGATGAAGATGGTAGCACTGAGGAGAGAGAATCCTTTTCGTTTACCAAATTACCCTTACTTCTTTAAAGGAATAACAAAATATCGCATTTCACGTGCAATTAAATATGTGGAGAAAAACCCGGTCGGACCCGATCCTCTAATCCGATCCGGTCCTTAATCCCACCTTCACATTTTATTTATTTTTTAATTTTTATAAATCTCGTTATGCTGTATTTCTCTCTCTCTCTTGCATGGAGTAAACAGGGAGAGTTTGGATTCACTTCTTGTTTGTATCAAATTTGATGAACCATTAAAAAGTAATGAATTCGATTATCAAAGCTAGTAATTCATGTTACGATTGCAGTAGTTTTACTTTATGCCAAATTTTAACAAAAAAAAATTTGAAAAATGTCTTCGATCAATTTTTAAAAGAATAAGGAGATTAATAACATAATTATTAAAATAGAGAATGGAAGTACTATGCGAAATATACTATAAAAATATTTTCAGCACTTTACCTTATTATTAATTAGTATACAAGTTAATTACTAAATAATAATTACAATATTATATATTATTTAACAATATGAGTAATAATTTAGTACAACATGACTTAATACAATATAATAGGATATAGTCCAACAACAATAGCTCAAATTACCTTTCAAAACAAAAACAAAAAAAAAAAACAATAGCTCAAATTCTCAATTTCAGTCTTAATTTGAAATTTTCAATCCAATTGCATGAAATGTCATTCACATAGAGGCTCGTGGGCTAAGCTTGGGTCTGACAAAAGTTTTTCAGTCGGGCCTTGCCTGTTAACAGGACATACTGTAGCAAGGCCAGATCTGGACCCCCAAAACAAGGGTGGCATGGGCCCAGCCCAGTTCATTTTCCATAGATAAGCCTCAAATGCTTCTAAAATTTTCGCCAATTTATTTCATTTGAATCATCTGAAATGCTTATGCTGCATTCACAACCTCAGATTCTTAGTGTGGATGATTATGCGGTAGCAAACTTAATTATAAAATGTTCTAATCTTTCATGTAATTCGAGTTTTGGAATTAAAATTGGTGGAACTAGAAGATTTTAGTTCAATTTTATGAATTATATTTCTTTAATTTCACAAATTTTAATTTCAAAACTCCAATTTCATACCTTTTATAAATCTTATTCAATCCTTATGTCTTGCAAAAAGAGTAATGAAATAAAAATCTACTAAATGTAAACTACACAAAAGGAAATGTACTTCTTCAATTAAATATATATAATAACGCAAATTGAAAACAACATTGTTAATTACTACATTAATCGACAATAGACATTGGCATTACTTACAAGTGACAACAGTACGGTGGGACCCATCACTCACTATGACCCATTGAGTAGCAATGAAGGCCCCACTGTGAATAGTGTCAATGTCACAGTGGTTGAAATATAAATTTTCATTTAAATATCACTTAAAATATAAGAAAACGAGTTCCAAATCACGAATTGTTACCCCCTGCTACAACTATTTCCATAAAAAAGTAGCGAGAAAGATAGCATGCTTAATTAATGCCAACAACTAACTTCTAACTGTTTTCTCAGTCTATATGTCCATGTATCTCCTCTCCCTACGTGTCTATATCTTACAAAAACATATAATTAATAAAAAAATATTTATTTTTATAACCGAGAATCACTTTCAAGACAGGGTCCTTTGAACCCACCCCTATCGCATAAATCACAAGAGTATTGGGGTAACTCGAATACCATCCCCAAGTAAGTCACAAACAATCTAGGAATAGTTTTTACCTTCAATGTGCCTTTTGAGTGTCGAACTGAGGACCTCCTTCTTTAAAATATTTATCTCACGCATCTGCTCCACTAGACCAACCTGTTGATGTTTTAATTAATAGTGTTACTAGTCCTGAAACTCGATGAGTAGTCCTTGTACTTCACTTATTCATCCATTCGCACTCAAAGAGTGTAGTTAGAAAACGATACTCGATACCTAATTAGGCAACATGGTTAATTTCTACTGCCCATACTCACAACTATTAACATGTATATGTATGGCAACCATATGCAATACCTTTTATTAATGCCATTACTTGCCCCATAAAGCTCAGGAAATTGATGGTTTTAAAAAGAAAAGGGACTCTACCATGTGCGTTCAGATACTCTACATGCAGAAAATTATAATGAAACTAAAGAATTCGGATCCCCTCGTGTTTATGTGCACTCACTAGTGGAACATAATTACTTCACAAAATGTAACACTCATTCAATTTATTACATTAGATCGTGTTGTAATGTCATATTATTATTAAATCGAGACTTCAACGATACGTCATTTAGAATTGTTGCATCAAACACCTAACAAGCGCGGAACGAAGATGACACCGAGAGGATCTGATGGACTGTATATTAACTCTGAAACACTTAAAACGCAGTGAGTGGTCCTTGTACTTGACTGATTCATTCACACTCAAAGAGTAGTTAAAAATGACATATAACAAGCCAATATAGTTAATGTCAACTGCACAGACTGTGTGTATAGATATATACCGGCATTAAATAATTATACATATGCAAGGCCTTTATTCTTATCCTTCTTGTTGATCCAAGAACAATGCCATAGGGTCTAAAAAGTAAGGGACCTTACCCTACCATGTGAATTCATGATAATTTTTTTAGCAGACTTGACCATTTGAGTGGAGGTCAAACACATGAATTATGAGTAATTTGATTTTTTCCGAATTCATAATTTGTTCTCATTCACAAGTTCAAATCCATCATAATAGGAGTATTTTTGGAACATCATGATTTTCATTCCTTTCTTAGAATATTTGGGATCTTATTGTGGATAATCTATTTGTGAATGTCATGAAGTGAACAAAATTTAGCATGACAACTAAAAAGTGATGGGTGAGACTAAAAGAAAGAGCTGTCATATATATTCTGTTATTCGGAGTTTTGTCCAGATTAATTCACAGTAGAGTGTTTGAGTTTTGGTAGAAATAATATTGTTCGTGTATTTTTTATTTTATAAAATTTTAAATAATAAAATAAATAATATTGTTGTGATAATTCTATAGAAACAACAGCCTTTGCTGAGAAATTGGAACACTAGGAATGTCTTTGTATGAAAAAAGGTTTGCAAGACCCACTGAGAGACCATTCAGGTACTATAAGTCAACCGACAAAGGATATGTAAGTAAATGCTTGGTTATGTCGTTGAGGCCTGATCGGCATTAAGTACTAGTAATGCATGTGGATATTATTATGGTACCTAAATCCGAGTTGTTGAATTTATATAATGGGATCCTTTCATATTAGTGCTTCAAAGAAGGGATGGAGTCAAAAATATTTTTTTAGGGGTAAGATTGGTAGTATGAAATTAAACAAAAATTAAAAAGAATTTTCAATATTTGTGATAAACTTCTATGCATTGATTCTATCACGATGATATTTTCATTTAGCTTTTTTTTTTTTTTTTTAAATGTTTTAAGTAATTTGTTTTCAAAACTTTGTCCCCACTATGTATAAGATTCTTATAATAGTTTGATTAAGAGATTGCCATCTTAACTTTGCATAGTAAAGATTATTAGAGTACAAACTTAGTAAGAGAATTAGTATATCCTTGTAAAAAATTTCTCCTATTCTTAGGATAATTTATAATTAAAAAAAGAAAAAAACTTGCCTTAAGCTAAGTAGGGCTTTTTTGATATTGATATGGACCAATAACAACACGACATATGTCAAAAAAATTAAACATGAATCGTTCGAATCTTTTCACGGGTCATCAAAAAAAAAAAGATGATTTTTCTCTCAGCGTGTGTCAGACTTTGTAGCGGGCTCCCCCTTTCTTAAACTCACTATTCCTTCTCTCTTCCGACCAAATCCCTAATTTTGAAAACCCTAATATTAATCCTCTTTTCTGCCAGCCAACCTCCACCAACTCCACTGCTTGCCACCTCCGCCATTCTCAAATCCTAATCTTTTACATCCAATATTTAGAGATGATTTAAGCCGCCACATTTGTTGCTTGTCATCTCTGTTGCAACCCCATCTCCAGAATGACTCAAGAGGCCAATCAATTAATAAATACGCATAACTCTAGTGACATCAATTTTTTTGAGATTTATCACCACCTGTTACAATCTGAAGCCAAATTGATTTCCTTAAACTCCATTGATAATTGCAGTTTTACAATTGCGGTTAATTTACCATGTTGGACTAATTATTTAACTTTTTCTGCAACGAATTGTATTATGAAGGGTTAATCTCAAATGCATGATGGGAAAAAAAATATATTTCCTTTTACATGATCCGGAGAATACAATTTAATTAATAAATAGAGATTGGTAACTGATATGATCAGAAGAAAAAATAGAAATGAGAAATGGAGCATTTTCTTTTTTCTTGAATTCATATAGATAATAAATTATATAGGCTATCAAAAATGGAAAATTTTATTTTTTAATATTGAATACTAAGAAAGAGTGAAGTCCAATCTCATTGCAGGGCCCACGTGGGTCATACTTCATTACTTTCAAGGGGATGATGATGCTATAGGGTTTGGCTTAGATTTTCACGTGTAATCTTATTTTTATAATTAATATCATAAATAAGGGTGTTGAAAACAATTGGAGGGTGAATGGACCACATAGAATTTTTCTTTATTATCGTTAATAACAATTTTTAGGTAAGCATAAATAAGGAGTTTTCAAAAAAAATTGGGTTGGGACCGCTCTAGCTTTGCCATGCTTGAAAGTCTTTATGAATGTTGAGAGTCAAAATTAGTGAAAGAATTTTATTTTTATGTTAAAGCTAGCAATCCTTTCACATGGAAAAAAGGTAACAATTAGATCCCTAAATTCTTTTTAACATCATTATGCCCCCAACCACTATACTTTAGTGACTTAAAAAACATGAGAAATATTATTAAAAAGTTAATTATTTTTTTATTAAAATTAAATATTTCGTAAATAAAGAGATTGCAAGTGTGGTGCTTTAAGAAACTCGACACATCATCATCCACTAAATTTTTTTTTTTAAGTTCACTGATGAAGTTCAAACTGAAAAAGTATACAAATACGAGTTTAAATATAAAAGTGTAGCGTCTTTTTATTTAAAACAATATTAAATATTATGTTCTTTTTTACTCTGATTTTAAATTTTTTGTTTTTTTCACTCTTAAAAATTAATTAAATATTGACGACAAAACCTAATATGATTGATAGTATATAGTATGTTACAGGTGGATTGAAGTTTTTTTTGTTTTTGTTTTGTTTTTATAAGCAAAGATCGTTAACGGTAGGATTAGGAGCATTAATGGTGGACCATATATTGATGCAATCCATAGACACAAGCAAGAGCGAGTCAACTCGGGCCGAGTTTCCTAAAAAACAAACACAGATATCTGAATCGGAGAGCGTTCTAATAAATAAAAAGCCAACGGCAGCAAATCCGCATTTTGCTCAACTCCCTTCTACTGCCGACCCTCTGCTCTCTTTATGGTATGCAAATTCGTTCCACTTCTTTCTCTTTCTATATATACAAACACATATACATATACATACACACATAAATATTTGTTGTGCTTTGTTTTCCTCTCACAATTTTTAATCTGCGGGTGTAATTTAATCACCTCAACAAGTTTTGTTACGAGTAAGTAAAAATCTTAACAGAGACCTGTTAGGTTGGTGAAAAGGCTTTTGATTTCGTCGCCGACATTGTTGTGGAGAGACAATATAATGCTTTCTATTATTATTATTATTGTTATTATTTTTCTGTTTTCATAGGTTGAAAAGTTCTGAATTCAGTTGAAAATTAATTTCTTACAAGCAATGCCATTGGAATTTCATTTCAAAATTACAATTCTATCTATCTATCTATCAGTCTCTCTCTATATATATATAATTGAATAATATGTGTATGTATTTGAATTCTTCCGATTTTTTTTTTTTAATTTTTGTAAAATTTTAGTTTTTCCACAGATAGATTGAGTGCTGATGATGAATGCATTCACCAATTATAAGGCTTGAAGTTCTCGGAGGCAAATTGTTAGGTCTTCCTCTTGTGAGTCTCTTTCTCTTTCTCTTTCTCTCTCTCTCTCTCCACACACACACACACTCTGTGCAATTGAATCTGAAATGGAGGAGTTAACACGCGCTTTATGCTGCTTAACAACTCAATACATGTGTTGTGTGGAAGCATCAATCTTTTTGTGTGTGTGTGTGTGTTATTGGTTCTTTTACATGAGCATCCAATGTAACCCCCTTCTTGGTTGGTTCTTCTCAGTTAATTAATGTATGATTTTTGATATATATTTATTCTTTGCGCATTAAAGCAACAAACATTATGTGTGAGGTAGGTTTAATGCAAATTAGTGACACCTAATTTTTTAGCACTTTCTAGCATAGAGTACCCTCCCTTTTACAGAAGAAAGAAAGTATTGAATACTGCTTTTTCTTTATGGTGACTTTTGCTTTTCTTTAATTTGGATTCTCTTAATCACTTGACTTTTCTATAACACTACTTTTTGGATTTTAATTTGGATTCTCTATCACATGACCTTTTTATTTTTATTTTTTATCACTCTACTTTTTGATTTGTAATCTTTTAATTGTGGTGTTTCTATTAGAATAAATATTTACTAAGAATATATATTTTAATCTCTTATTGCAGTGTTTGCTTTTCCCTTTATGGGAAACATTTTGATTTTTTGGTATTTTTTTTTATTTTTTTATTTTTAATCTCTTTTTACTAGCAAACATAAAGAGAAGCTACTATTATTCAAAGTTATCAACTCTTTAAAAGTTGAAACAATTGATATTTCCTAATTGAACATTTGAAGGTAGGGAGTTGCTTTTGCAATATATGTATGTGTATATATATTGCAAAAGCAACTCCCTACATTCAGATGTTGAAGGTCTCAATTTACAATTCTTATTTCAAATGAGTAAAACCAAAGGCTGTAAAACATTATTTTTCTAAATGAAGCATTGTTCTTGAAACAAATCTTAAGCTCAGGTGCTCTCTATGGTGGTGGGTTTTTGACTATGCTACCCTGTGCGGTTGTGCCATTCTATCATTGGAGAGAGAACGGATTAACTTTTAATTTTGAAATGATTTCTCTTTTTATATGGAATACCAGTTTTAAGGATTTTTTAATTATTATTTTAACTTCAAGTTTTCAATTTCTTAATAAAGATATTCCCTTTAGAAAAATAATAGCCATGCTTTTCCAATATGAAAAAAGTTGACAAAGAGTAACTTTTTTGCTAAAAGAACTCGAGACAAAAGTAAAAAGAATCAATTATCTTGTTGAATCACATAAATTCGATGGTTCAAGTGCTCTGTTTCTTCAATGATTCTTGGCTTCTTGTTAAGATCAAGTGAAATACCTCTTATGAAGAAGGTGAAGAAAATATCACTTTGACAAGGTGTTGTCTATTAGATCAGGCAAGTTGATCCTAAATCTGCAATCCTTTCATTTTATTGGTTCTGTGATTTATTTTTGACTTTCATTGTTGGTCCAGCATGCTTCCTCGCAGTTGTGGTTTAAAACATTCATGATAGTGCTTAAGTCCTCAATTTTATCGGGGGTTAAGAGGCGACTACTTATCTATGTTCGTTCTGCTGTCGTGAACACATTCATTTTAAAAATAATACGGGTGTTTTTATGAGGCTAATTTTCTCTGTTATTTTTCAAATGTGTATTCCTCCTCTTTGATTTCTTCATCAAACTGGTTCATTCAAATTTGATTTGGATTTTAGATCGTTTGTACAATTGCTACATTTCTTAATTAGAGCCTGATCCAGTATGATCCTTGCAATGGAAAAGCTAATGAGTCTGTTTTTTTCTTGTAATGTGACTAATTAGTAACTATAGTTGCTTCCTCCAGATACATGTTCAGCTAATTCTTTTTCATGGTATTTGTTATTCAACCAGGAGAGCAACGAGCCACTTAGGTCCATTTCACATATTTACATCATTATGAGGCTAATTTTCTCTGTTATTTTTCAAATGTGTATTCCTCCTCTTTGATTTCTTCATCAAACTGGTTCATTCAAATTTGATTTGGATTTTAGATTGTTTGTACAATTGCTACATTTCTTAATTAGAGCCTGATCCAGTATGATCCTTGCAATGGAAAAGCTAACGAGTCTGTTTTTTTCTTGTAATGTGACTAATTAGTAACTATAGTTGCTTCCTCCAGATACATGTTCAGCTAATTCTTTTTCATGGTATTTGTTATTCAACCAGGAGAGCAACGAGCCACTGAGGTCCATTTCACATATTTACATCATTACCTTTAGGCTTAAGCCCCCCACTGAAAAACCTCATGAAGCTCCAGTTGTTAGCAGTGATTACTACCACTGTCCTCCTACTGCCTTTTCTTCCGTTAATTATTGCTGACCTAAACTCTGACCGACAAGCTCTCCTTAACTTTGATGCTGGTGTGCTACATCGTCGAAAAATCAACTGGAATTCTTCTGTTCCAGTGTGCTCTTGGTTTGGCATCACCTGCAATGAGAATGGAACTAGAGTGACTGCCATTCATCTCCCAGGTGTTGGACTCTCTGGCCCCATCCCAGCCAACAGTATCGGAAAGCTAGATGCTCTTAGAGTCCTCAGCCTCCGATCCAACTACCTCCATGGAAATCTTCCTTCTGATATACCCTCCATCCCTTCCCTCCAGGCCCTCTATCTTCAACACAACAATTTCTCTGGTGAAATTCGTGCTTCTCTTTCCCCGCATCTCAATGTATTGGATTTCTCATTCAATTCATTTACTGGTAACATTCCACCCACAATTAAGAATTTGTCGCGACTCACTACTTTGAGCCTCCAGTTCAATTCATTTTCTGGAGCTATTCCTGATCTCAAACTCCCAAGACTCAAGCTTCTAAATTTGAGCTTTAACATACTAAATGGTTCAATTCCATTTTCTATCCAAAAGTTTCCAGTTTCTTCATTCGAGGGAAACACCCTTTTATGTGGCTCACCTCTGACTAATTGCTCTATAATGCCCCCTTCTTCTCCTTCTCCAACTTACTTGCCATCTCCATCTGTTGTCCATGGAGCGCGAAATGCTGGCCGCAATAAGAAACTGGGTGCAGGCGCTATCGTTGCCATTGCAATAGGGGGGTCTTCAATGTTTTTTCTTCTATTTCTAATGGTCTTGTTCTGCTGCTTGAAGAAGAAAGATAGTGGTGACAGTGCTGTGCTGAAAGGGAAGGCTTCTAATGGTGGGAGAAGCGCGAAGCCTGAAGACTTTGGGAGCGGGGTGCAAGAAGCTGAGAAGAACAAGTTGGTCTTCTTTGAAGCGTGCTCATATAACTTTGATCTTGAGGATTTATTGAGGGCTTCAGCTGAAGTTCTTGGGAAGGGAAGTTATGGAACAGCTTATAAGGCCGTTTTGGATGAGGAGACAACTGTGGTGGTGAAAAGGTTGAAGGAAGTGGGGGTCGGGAAGAGGGAGTTTGAACAGCAAATGGAGATTGTAAGAAGGGTTGGGCAGCACCCTAATGTTGTACCACTCCGTGCTTATTACTATTCTAAAGATGAGAAACTTCTAGTCAATGATTACATGCCAGCCAGCAGCCTGTCTTCACTCTTGCATGGTAATGTTTTCTTTAACCCTTTCTTCGTTTTATTTTTATTTTCGGTAAAGCTGTGTTAAATTTACAGAAGGTTGACAAACTTCTCTTCTGTTTTGCTCCATATGTGTTGCAGTCATGAAAAATTTAGTTGGTTTATTACTTCATTTACATTATTTTTACCATTCAGTTAAGCATACTGTGCAAATCTATGATCATTTAAGCTATCTGAAAAAGAAAGAAAGAAAGAAGGAAAGAAAGAAAGAAAAGCAATGTGTTGGTTTCAAACAAACAAAATGCTTGAAAACACCACAGAAGCAACACTTGAACACGTTAAATTATATTTATCTGATAATTCCACTTGATGTAAGAATGAACTCTCTTAGAGAATGCCACTGTACTGAAAACATATCCCCGGAAAATAATCCTTGCCTACTCTGGTCAGAATCACAAAGATGGTTTTATCCTTTAGTCAGCAACATGTAAGGAAAGGTACACTAAAAAATGCATAACGTGATGTATCTGAATGCCAAAATGGATAGTATTAGGCTTGCATCCAACACTCAATTGACTAGCATGAATAGTGTAAGGCTGAAAGCACAAGAGGCTAGAAGTTGTTTTAAGTAAAAACTTCCCCACCCATTTAATAAGATCAGTTTGCCGACTTTTTAAACCATTTCTAAAAACGGTTCTTGTACTATGATATCCAGTGCCTAACTATCATCACGAACTACTTAAAAACAAAAAAGGATTTTTAATCATCAATTAGTAGGTTAAATTGAATGACATTATTTAGTTGCTTTATGTTGTATTTGAGACAACCATTTTTCTGTGTTATAATGGTTGGATTAATAGAAGACATTGACATGGCTCTTGGTCAAATCTTTGTCAACTAGTTTCCTTAATACTATACAAGCCTGATGGCTATCGTACCCTAGCACTTCTCTATCTCTCACAATTTAGACTTTCAATCAAATTTTTTATGTTTGTACTTTGTATACTGAAGAATGCATGAAGTGCGCACTCATTTATCTGTGTGTGTTTGTTAATTGATCATTGTCAATGATCCCATATTTGCCTTCTCTGTACTGTTTCTGTACAAATAACAGGCAATAGAGGCATAGGAAGAACTCCACTAGACTGGGATTCAAGGGTGAAGATCTCACTTGGAACTGCTAGGGGAATTGCCCACATCCATTCCGAGGGTGGTGTTAAATTCACCCATGGCAACATCAAGTCCTCCAATATCCTCCTCACCCAAGATCATGATGGTTGCATCTCTGATTTTGGATTGACTCCTCTAATGAACTTCCTTGCAAACACATCTCGAGGTGCAGGATACCGTGCTCCAGACGTGATTGAAACCCGCAAGGTCACTCAGAAATCTGATGTCTACAGCTTTGGTGTTCTCCTCCTTGAGATGCTAACAGGCAAGGCCCCTCTCCCATCTTCAGGGCGTGACGATATCATTGATCTACCAAGGTGGGTGAGGTCTGTTGTCCGGGAGGAGTGGACAGCCGAAGTTTTTGATGTGGAGCTGTTGAGGTACCAAAATGTGGAAGAGGAGATGGTGCAGATGTTGCAGATTGCACTTGCATGCGTTGCAAAAGCTCCAGATATGCGACCGGCAATGGACGAAGTTGTTAGAATGATTGAGGATATGCGACAATCTGAGTTGGAGAATCGGCCATCCTCTGAGGGTAACTCCAAGGACTCCAATGTGCAAACCCCATGATTATTTGGAGGTTGTTGAACGATGGAGAACCGAGTCAACTGACCATTCAGCTACTCCCTTCCATCAGTATTATCTCATTCATTAGGCTGCTTCAAAATTTGTATTACATCCTCTGTAAGGTGTCAACCAAGGTTGCTCATGTAACACTTTATGTCCAATTTATGAGTTCTGGAAGGCTTTCTGTATTATGAAATTCGATCTTCTTTCTACTGTTTATCCTGGAAATCAATTCTTTCTATTGTTCGAAACTGCATTGAATTGATTCTGGACTTCAATCAATGAACACGATCCATGATTCGTGATTATTTTTAGCAGAATTAATATCAATATGATTTTATAGAGCAATCAGAACAGATAGGATATAAGACTGTAATATACTGTTTTGATTTTTGAAAATTCTGAGATGGTATTATCAAAACTAATGGCAATGGCTTAAAAAAAAAAAAAAAAAAAAAAAAAAAAAAAACCATAAGAATTTGGTCAAATAGCAAGGAATAGCATCATTGATTCATGGGTCATATTAATCTACAAGAGTCAGCATTATAAAGCAAAACACACACAAGCCCAAAACACATTGACAATAGGCAGGGGGACCCGAGATATTAAGTTTTGAGAAGAAAAGAAAAAAAAAAAAAAAAAACACGCGCACGCACACAGAAACCTGGAAATAGTATGTAATTTTCCCCTCACGGGTGGAAGCAACATGTTGACTACGGTGAATCACATCTAAAACCATAGAGCTCGCGACCTGGAGCTTGTGAAAAATGCCATGAAGCTCAAGCTCAACAAGGTTCTTGGGATTAGGATTTAAGTCGGCGCATTCTATGATGAAGAGGTCAACATTCATTCCACTGAGCTTCTGTTTCAAATCATAATCCCCAATGATGGCTCCAGCAAGGCAAGCGTTTACCTATATGTTGACCTGGCGTGGGTCATGATTAACGCTCAAGGGATGATACTTGTAATTTCGTCCGGCCATACCACCAGTACGGCCTGAATCAATGGCACATGCATCAAAGGTGAAAGGCTTCCCAATTTCGCAAATGCCATGGGCAAAATGGCATTTGTCTCCAAATTTGCGGCCCAAAATAGTATTATAATCGCAGCACAGCCGGGTTTTTTTAACAGCAGGTCTGACAGAGCCATCCAGGAAGGATGGTGGGGCTGCCACATTGAAACTTGATTTGGTCGTCCCGGTTCAACCATCTGAGTAGCTGAGCTGCAAAACAAAACATGAACCACCACACCAATTAGATTGCACTTAATGACTGAAAAGATATTGTGGTTACAAGTCAATCTTACTTATGAGGTATGCTGCATTTTATCTGATCCCTTATATGATGACGTATTAAAGTCTGAATCATATATTTAGATTCTATTTAATAGTTAATCAAGTGGATTAGCTTCTATTTAACTAGTTACGTGTAGCACATGTTCATTAGTTATGGGGTTATAATTATATTAGTGATTTAGGGGCGAATTCAATTTATATGAGTGGCACCATCCCACTCATATAAATTGAATTTGGAACTGTTGAATTTAGTCCTTAAATCACTATTCCTATTATTATTGGTATGCATGGTTAAATAATAATTCTTTGCATAATAATAAAATTACTTGTTGAAGAGGAGGGATCTTGTTGAACTTGTCAGCTCACCCAATTATTTGCATTTTAGGTAATTGATGGCCGTAGAGTTGATGGTGATCACCAAAAGCAATTCAAAGTTTGTTACTTCTTATTTCTAAGGAGATTTTTGTAGAGGGGACTTTTTTTTTTTTTTAAGTAAAGAAGTATTAGAAAGCGTTCAAAAGGGAAACGCATTGATAAGAGCTGAATATATCATATTTGAGCACTTAAACGTGCATAAGTTAACGTCTTGGTGGTACTTTTATCTAGATTCTTATGCCTGGTTTAGTTCATTTGCTATTTGTAGGTCCCTTTACCTAAAGAGACGGACAATTCCATATATTTAGGGCCCGTTTGGCATAAACAGTGGTTTTGTTGTAGGAGTGTTTTGGAAAAAATTCGAAAGCTCGTTTCGAAACGATGTTTTGTTGTGGAAATGTCGGAAACAAAAACATGCGAAACATGTTTGGTAAGTCATGCGTTTCAAATATTTTGAAAACCATGTTTGGTCAATCCAACTGTTGCCAAAAAAAAAATTAGAAACAAAAAAACATATTTGGTTTTCATTGTTTTTAATTTGTTTTTATAAATTTTAAGAACATTTGTAAATAGTTATCATATTTTTAATAGATATGGAGAAATTTAAACCCACAAACATATATATATATATATATATATATATATATATATATATATTTGCAATAACCCATTTACAAGTTGTTTGCAATAACATACTTCAATTTTATTATCATTTTACCTGTATAGTCCAACACAACATTAAAAATAAAAGCATCTCTAGTCACATTTTACTATACTACATGAAAGTCAACATTTGTAAAAAAATTTGTAATAAACTATTTACAAGTTCTTTACAATAACCTGCTTCAATTTTATTATCCTGTTACCTCTATAGTTTAACACAACATTAAAAATAAAAACAAATACAACTGAAAGCATAATTAGAATAGAGTGTATACCATTTACAAGTGCTTAAATATTCAACCAACAAATTAAACAAATTTAAGTTCTACATAAAATGTTTGGAACAAAGTATTAACAATACATAGTTGTCACTAAAAATTGATAATAAGTTCATAAAGTGGATGACAATGGCAACGACACATCATCTTCATAACAGCACATGTGGCTTTCAAGAGAGCATCAACACACTTCATATTTGCAATAATAGCATTTAAGTTGAAATATATTAACAATAATATCAACTAGTAATAGTAACAAAAAAAAATGATTTATATCACATATATATATTATAAGCTCATAATAGCAACAAATATATTACATATAAAAGAAAAAACATACCATCACTTCCAGAAGGATAAAGAGTGCTAAAGAGAATTCCAAATTCGATCAGCAATAGTATTACGCAACTGATCCATTTTTGAAGCTAAGCCGAAGGCACATGGTGAACAATCTCATCATCTTCACCATCACTAGCATGAAAACAGTATCTATGGTCTCTTCTAGGGCATTTGATTCACAAAAACCAACCTAAATAATTGTGTTTTATAACTAAATTGGGTTGATCATCTTCTATGCAATGTATTTCGAGGACTTGAGAAATTCTTGATCACGAATGAACAAAAAATAACAGATAACTTTGAATTCACAATGTTAAAAAGAAAACTGCAAAGAAATATTTTTTGTACCTTAAAAACTTCGGACTTGCGTGACCAACTTGTTACACCATTCCTTTTCATACATGTCTTTAGTAAAGCTTTCTCAACTTTGCAAATTGCAAGCTAGTGGGTGAATGTGACCTAGCTTGGGGTTGATATTGACCCCAACTAATCCTTTATGAATTAGAGGACATGGGTCTGAGAATTCAAACCACCCTCCCTGAACTCTTCCACAAAATTTAAGTGTCCTAATCAATCAATCCCAAATTAAAGAAGAGTACTGATATAAGTCCAATCAGCTATTTGTAAAACCTATTTAGTTAACTAAAACCCCTGTTTGAAGACTTGGGCAGCAACATTATCACATTCATAGCCAGATCAATATTCAAATAACCAACAAAAACACTTGAAAAAACAATAATTTTTCTAAAAAATCTAATATTTTAGAAAGAAAAAAAAATTTAACATGATATTAAAGTTAAATGTTTCTTGTTCAAACCTCATCATTATTGTGATAATTAAAGTTGAAAAATTCGTTACATCTTGTCAGTGGTGGAGTTGGAAGGAGCAAGCAATTGAGCTGAGAAAGTTAGCAACAATAAATCTAAGAAGGAGCAAGCAATCAGAATGAGATTAATAAAAAAATTAAAATAGAAGCATAGAAGGAAATTAGTTTTGAACAACATAATTATATGGCCATTTATCTCCAATTAAACTAAGCATAGAAGGAAATTAGTTTCAGCACAGAATGAGAATAATTAAAATAAAAAAAAAAGTATTAACAAAGGACAATTCATTGAAAGTCATCAAAAGATTAGGTGCTCTCTTATGCTTGATGTGAAATCTTTGGACTACAAAAATTAGAAGTTTTTTTTAAGGTGTGAAACTTTCAATCTAATGGTTTTAAATTTTGAGTCCTTTATTTCTTTGGATGAAGAAGGCACCAGAACCATTTCTTTTTCCCTTTTCCTTAGTTTATAGGTGATATGTTTTAGCATGCAGCACTGAAATCTATTAGCTTCCAATGTCATAACATAAAGTCCGCTAAATAATCATTTAGACATAACACAGTTCTTAGTTTTTAATGGTTTTGTACTCCATCGGGCAGGACTATCAATGCTTGTAAGAGAGTGTCCTCGCCATATCCTACTTCAATAAATAATTGCTTTTAGGGAGGGAGGGGAGTGCACTTTGCTATTTAATCTATTTAATATTAACTAATTCACGAGTCGACAGGCAAAATTACTCATCAGAAAAATCAGGATTATTAACATTCCTTTCTAAATGAACATAATTATGAATTAACACTACCTTGCTCCATAGTGCCAAATTAATGAGGGTCATCAATTATTGAGTTTTGTTAATATTTTCCGGATTTAGACAGACGATTCCAAAACTGCACATTTCCTCATATGTATCGCCACCTTACATTGACTAAAATCTTTCAACGTGTGAAGACTAGTAAGGTACACATTCATTAAATAGAACATCAAAATCGACTTCTTCTTCTTCTTTATAGTGTGCGGTACCCAACAGAACAAGCAAGAAACCTTAGCAAACTCGATGTACAGATTCAATAACTCTAGCACATATGTGAGAAGCTAATTTTAGCAAATATTGTAGATTTGCAACCGCAAAAAAAAAAAAAAAAAAAAAAAAAAAAAAAAACAACTCAAAAAAAACTCAGATATTCAAAGAAAGTCCAAACTTGTCAAGATCGTCGAAGATAACAGCAAAGGAAAGCAAATTGTTGAAGGTATCGGCCGAAAATTGTAGTGAAACCTTGGATTTATACGTCCTTCAGTTGTCTGCCAAGAATCGCCAGAGCAAACGCAGCAAATGCGAACCCTAGGATTTTCCTTTTATGCGTCCTTTTGCTTCTTCCGCTACAGTAAAATGAGCCCTGTTTGCTTCTTCCGCTACAGTGGTTTTTACCCCAAACAGGCCCGA